AGAGTGAGACTCTGTCTCCAAACAAAAACAAAAACCCTCAAAAGCATAGATAATAGTAACATGTAGCAGCGTAATTAGGAAGTGATAAATTTTGTGTATTTATTACGTTTGTTTTAATATAATCTATTTGATCATAAGTTTATACAATTAATTGTTTACACATTGGCCGTGTTTAGCAAGAGGTTTTGAATTCTTGAAGATGTGCCAGCTGGCTCTTGTGAGTCAGTGCAAGCTGGCTCCAGCACGCATCTGTAAAACCATCTCCACTCATTGAAATCTGCCTCCCAGGCCCACCACTCAACCAAAACCCCCCTTGCTCATCTCCACCATGACCTCCATTATTGCAAAATGCAAATGGGGGTGGCGCTACGATTGTCTGTTCTGGCCTTCTTCTGAACTGCTGTAGCACTCGCCTGCTGCTTGCCTCCAACTGCCTTCTCCAGTTCCTCACAGATCGTCTTCCTTTTTTTTTTTTCGCTTTTGAGATGGGATTCGTTGCTTTGGTCGCCCAGGCTTGGAGTGCGAGTGGTGGCGATCTCAGACTCACTGCAACCTCCGCGCCTCAGGGTCCAAGCATTCTCCTGCTCAGCTTCCCAATAGTGTGGGACTACAGTGCGCCGCCACCATCAGCCGGCAATTTTTGTAGTTGTTAGTAGAGACGGGGTTCACCATGTTAGGCCAGGATGTCTTGAGTCCGCCTGCCTCATGATTTGCCACCCTCAGCTCCCCACAGGCTGGGGATTTAGGCATGGAGCCACCGTGCCCCGCCACTGAGAAAGAGTTTCACGCCTGTTGCCAGGCGTGTGCAATGGTGGAGATCTCGGCTCACTGCAACCTCCATGGCCAGGTTCAAGCAATTCTCTTGCCTCAGCTTCCTGGGTAGTTGGGATTATAGCGTGCACCACATGCCCGCTAATTTTTATTTTTAGCAGAGACGGGGTTTCACCATGTTGGTCAGGCTTGGTCTTGAACTCCCGACCTTCAAGTGATCCCTGGCCTCGGGCCTCCCAAGTCCATGGGATTACAGGAGTGAGTCACTGTGGCCAGCCTCCCACTTCCTTTTGTTTTTGAGACGGAGTCTCGCTCTGTCACCTAAGGGTGGAGTGCAGTGGCAGGACTCAGCTCACTGCACGCTGCTTGCTCCCAGGGTTCATGCCATTCTCCTGCCTCAGCCTCCCAAGTAGCTGGGACTACAGCCACCATGCCTGGCTAATTTTTTTGTATTTTTAGTAGGGACAGGGTTTCACCATGTTAGCCAGGATGGTCTCGATCTCTTGACCTCATGATCCGCCCACCTTGGCCTCCCAAAGTGCCCCCTCCTTTTTTTGAGACAGATTTCTGCCTGTTGCCCAGGCTGGAGTGCAAGTGGAGCATTCTTGGCTCACTGCAACCGTCTGCCTCCCAGGTTCAAGTGATTCTCTATGCCTCAGCCTCCTGAGGGTATAGGATTACAGCGCGTGTGCCACCTACGCCTAGCAGTTTTGTACTTTTTGTAGAGACACGGTTTCTCAGTGTTGCCCAGGCCTAGTCTCGAACGTCCTGAACGCTCCAGTGATCCACGCTGCCTGGATAAAGGAGTGCGATTGAGTTACAGGCATGAGCCACTGCAGTATAGCCCACACTCTGGCTAATTGTTTGGATTTTTGGTAACAGACAGGGGTTTTGTTATTGTTCCCCTGGCTGGTCTTGAATTCCTGGGCTCAAAGCAATTCACCTACCTCACCCGCCGCAAAAGTGCTGAGAATAACGGGCATGGAGCCACTGCGCGCCAGCCCCCTCCAGGTCCTCTCTTTCTGTTGGACAGTCTTGCCCAGGCTCTGCGAAGGGCTCTTAATAAAGAAATTGTTTTTAGGATGGAGGGGTCTCGAGTGGGCATAGGCTCACACCGTGTAGAGCCAGCACGTTTGGGAGCCGAGGGCGGGAGGATCACGCGTGAGGTTTGGGATTTTGTTCCGTAGACCAGCCTGACACATGGAGAAAGCCAGTAATCTACTAAAACACAAAATTAGCTGTCGTGTCGGTGGCGCCATGCCCGTAATCGCCGAGCTATCTGTGAGATCGTGAGACAGTGAGAATCCACTGAACTCGGGAAAGCAGAGGTGGCGGTGAGCCAAGATCACACCATTGCACTCTATCTACGCAACAAGAGCAAAACCCATCTCAAAAAAAAAAAAAAAAAAAGAGATGGAGGTTCTCATGGCTGTCACCCAGGGTGGAGTGCAGTCGCCGTTGATCATAGCTCACTGCAGCACTCAACGGATGGGCTCAATGATCCTCCCCCCTCGCACTTCCTGAGTAGGCTGGGACATTCCAGGTGAGAGACACCATGCTTGGCTTACTTTTTATTTTTGTAGAGACGGGGTCTTGTTATGTTGCCCAGACTGGTCTGGAACTCCTGGGCTCAAATGATGCTCCTGCCTCAGGCTCCTGAGTTGCTGGGATAATAGGACTGAGACACGGATCCTGGATTAAAGAACTCTTCTATCTCCACTTTATCTCTGGGTCTTTGACACGCTCATATGGCACCCTGCCTCTGGCTGTTCAATGCTGTAGCTCCCCTCCCCTCCCCTCTTTCCTTCCTCCCTCCCTGCCTGCCTTCCTCTCTCTCTGTCTCCCTCCCTCCCTTCCTTCCTTCTTTTTTTTTTTGACACAGGGTCTCTCTCTGTTGCCTAGGCTGGAGTGTAGTGGCACAATCACGGCTCACTACAGCCTTAATTTCCCGGGCCTCAGCGATCCTTCCATCTCAGCCTCCTGAGTATCTGCGACTACAAGCACGTGCTACCACACCAAGCTAATGTTTTGTATTTGTTGTAAAGATGAGGTCTCACTATGTTGCCCAGGCTGGTCTCAAACTCTTGGGCTCAAGAGATCCTCCCGCCTCAGTGTCCCAAAGTGCTGGGATTATAGGCATGAGCCACTAGGCCCGGCCGAACTCCGTACTTTCAACCACAACTAAGAATCCATATTTCTAGCCCAGACCTTATTCTCAGCAGCACACCTGTCTACACCAACTGCTTAGTTTGCTCCTCTTGGCATCACGACATCTCCAGCAAAGCCAGAGTGGAAACCCTCATCTCTTACTCCCACCTTGAGGGGGAGCTCCTGAGATGGAGAACACAGGTCTGTCCAGCCCAGAAGCCAGGAATGCATGCCCTCCGGGGCCAAGCTGCCTCCCTTTGAAAGAATGAAGTCCCGTAAACCCATATCACAGGTTAATAATGCAAAAGGACTGGGCGGGGTAGCTCACGCCTGTGATCCCAGTGACTCAGAGGCTGAGGCAGGAGGATCGCTTGGGAACTGGAGGCTGCCATGAGCTAGATTACGACACTGCACTCTAGCCTGGGTGACAGAGCAAGGCTCTGGTTCTTAAAAAAAAAAAAAAAAAAAAACGGCTCCAATAAGGTAAACAGCAACAGCAACATACATTAACTCTCCCAGGGGACCAACCCTCCTCATCACCGGATTGCATGGCCATGTTAAAATACCGCCACTTGGTGGCGGCATTCTTCGAATGGAAAATAGCATCTGAGATGCTGAAATGACAAAGGCCTGGGCTTCTTCGGGTCAGAGAGTGTCAATTCACACTGAATCGAAGTAGGACTGGACCACAGTCAGCCTACTCTCAGCTTTCCCTTCTTATTCGGGGTCAAAACCAACAGGCGTCTTCCCAAAGCGCCGCACAAGGGTGGGCTCCTTCGTTTTCCTGGAGCAACTCACTTGCTGGTATCTCGGTCATTGTCAATCAGTCAGTCATTGCAGGGACAGCCATAGACAATTACTCTCGAGCTGGTCCGCCGGTCAATCAGAATCCAATCGAATCCGTTCTTGTGGTCGGTGGATCCACGAGCCTGTACCACCTACCACCAGCGCCCGGCGCGTTCTGTAGCGGAATCACCGCAGGTGACGGAATCCACGCCCCTGGGCTCCGCCCCTTCGTAGTCGCGCCCAATCACAGATCTGACCCTCCCAGGAGGGCCCGTCCCCTGGCCCACAGCCAGTCACAGGCCCCGTCCTTCCAAAACACTGCCCTATCAGAGGCCAAGCTGTCTAGGAATTACCTACCCTTTTAATGTCCCGCCCCTATGACGGACCCAATCGCAGGGCTCTCCCTCCCCGAAACCCCGCTCCCGGACCGGCGTGTCTCAGGTTTGCGCCACTCTAGGCTGAAGCGGCGGATGACGCAACCGGGCCGCGCCGCGAGAAGGTCACACGGTTCTCCAACATGGCGGCGGCGGCGGCGCTGCGGAGTGGCTGGTGCCGCTGTCCACGGGTGAGCGGCGGTGCGGTGCTGGCAGGGCGGGCTTAGGGGTCTTCTGGGCCTTCGGCCACCAAGGCTTTCTTCTCAGGCCCTTGGCCCTCGCGACCCTTGCTTGGGCTCCGTAGAAAGCTTGGGGTTGGATCGTTGGGTCAGCAGAGGCCAGGACAGGGGGCACAGAGCGTGGCCTGAGGGCGGGGACAGAGCTTACCGGGCAGGGGGCGGCGATGCGCGGAGCCTGGGAGGGAGCTGATCACCCTTCGCCCTCTGATCAGACTCCACGTGTACAGGAGAGTGAATGGTAGCCAGGACGGCGGCGTCCCGTGGAAGAAAGTAGAGGGGAAGGCAAAAAAACGTGAACTTCACAGCTCTCGGTTAAATGCCAGGTCCGCTACCGAGAGCATTTCTTGTCTCGTTTCTTCTAACGTTCATTGTGGACGTGCGAGAGGTGGTTCACGCCCTGGCAGGCTCTTAGGTCCACACGGCAGTGGGAGTCAAGACATGTAAGGCGCACTCAGAAAGTAGTACTTCAAATTGCTCGTGCTCTTCGTTTCTTCTTCTTCTTTTTATTTGTTTATTTATTTTTTTTGAGACGGAGTTTCGCTCTTGTCGCCCAGTCTGGAGTGCAATGGCGCGATCTCGGCTCACTGCAACTTCTGCCTCCCGGATTCAAGCGATTCTCCTGCCTCAGCCTCAGGTGGATCACCTGAGGTCAGGAGTTGGAGATCAACTGGCCAGCATGGTGAAATCCCGTCTCTACTAAAACGCCATCTCTACTAAAAATACAAAAAAATTAGCTGGGCATGGTGTCTCGCTCCTGTAATCGCAGCTACTCGGGAGGCTGAGGCAGGAGAATCGCTTGAACCCGGGAGGCGGAGGTTTCAGTGAGCCAAGATCATCCCACTTTACTCCAGCCTGGGTGACAGAGGGAGACTCCGTCTCAAAAAAAAAAAAAAAAAAAGTTATCCTCAAGTAAATGCAGGAGATGGTAGGCACCTGTGTAAGTTTGGGATGTTCCATGGGTTCTCAGAGGTAGGAGGCAGAGAACAGAGAGAAAAACGGCCCAGGAAATCTGGAAATGGTGGAGAAGTTGTACCTGGTCTTTTGACATCAACACGCCAGGTTCAGGTGCCGAGTTGAACAGGACCTTCACAGAGCTTTTTTTTAACCCGCAGTTTTTTGTGGAGGCAGGGTCTTGCTATGTTGCCCAGGCTGGTCTCAAACTCCTGAGCTCAAATGATCCTCCCGCCTCAGCCTCCCAAAGTATCGGGATTACAGGCATGAGCCACCAGCTCAGTGCCTGCACAGAACTTAAAGTTCATCATTTGGTAGGAGAACAAACTGCCTTTTACTTTTATTTGATTTTTTTTTTCTGAGACAGAGTCTTGCTCTGTCGCCCAGGCTGGAGTGCAGTGGCACGATCTCGGCTCACTGCACCCTCTGCCTCCCGGGTTTAAGCAATACTCCTGCCTCAGCCTCCCAAGTAGCTGAGACTACAAGTGTGTGCCACCACGCCCGGCAAATTTTTGTATTTTTGGTAGAGACGGGATTTCACCATGTTGGCCAGGCTGATCTCGAACTCCTGGCTGGGTGATCCACCCGCCTCAGCCTCCCAACGTGTCGGGGTCACAGGCGTGAGCCACCACACCTGGCCAGCAAGTGCCTTTTACATGAGGTCAGCCAAGTCTTTGCCCAGAGTGACTCCCCTAAATTACTCTGTTTATAGCCCAACCCTTGAGGGGGACATTGTAGGTTTATTCCAGAGTTGTCCCTGGGGACATTATCGATGTTTGTGTCTGAAAATCCAGTTCTCTCATCTTTGGAGGCTGGCAGAGATGGGGTGGGCTCGCAAGAGAAGACTGCTTGCCACTAGCATAGAAGCTTAGAGTGCCTATTTTCAGACTAAGAAATTAAATTGTACTGGTACATTTAGCCTTCTTCCCCGCCACGGGTTGGCATTTCCTGGGACCTGTCTATTTTCCCCCAGTTTCAGGGGCACGAGGATAGATATAGGCCCTGGAGGTACACACACAGCATTTTCTCTTTCCACCAGCTTCTACTTGCTTCTCAGACTTTGGGAAGATTACAGAGTGCCTGGCACGCATCCGGCATAAGATAAAAATTGGCCAATGAGGCCAGGTGCGGTGGCTCATGCCTGTAATCCCAGCACTTTGGAAGACTGGGGGAGGGGTGGATGACTTGAGGTCAGGAGTTCGAGACCAGCCTGGCCAACATGGCAAAAACCCTTCTCTCCTAAAAATACAAATATTAGCCAGGTGTGATGGTGCATACCTGTAATTCCAGCTATTCAGGAGACTGAGGCAGGAGAATCGCTTGAACCCAGGAGGTGGAGGTTGCAGTGAGCCGAGATCATATCACTGTACTCCAGCCTGGGCAACAGACTGAGACTCTGTCTCAAAAAAAAAAAAAAAAATGGCCAGTGATTCGCAGGCGACCCCTGCTGTTTTGTGTGTGGTCTTCTTACTTCTTGGTCAGCCTCTTGTTAGAATGGATCTTTCTCATCTCTTCCCCCCATTAGAGATGCCTCGGCAGTGGAATCCAATTCCTTTCCAGCCACAACCTACTCCACGGGTCGACCTATCAGATGCGCCGGCCGGGCAGAGAGCTGCCACTGGTGAGTGACTCAGGATGCTCAGGCCAGCAGACACAGGGGAGGCCTGAAAATTCCGATCCCATTGGCAGGAGGGAGGTTGTGGGGCGGTGGAGGTGGCTCACACCATCTCAGTGGTGGGCCTTGTGTGTCTGGGGCCTTCTGAATGACAGATCCCAGCGTGCCTGGCCTTCTCGGTCGCAGAAACACTTGACCTGCCTCTTGCTTGATGTCGTGAGGAGATAAGGTGCTGTCAGAGTAGCCCGTTGTGTTGGCTGTAATGCTTGGAGGAGACCCTTGTATTGAACTGAATTCTGCTTCCCTGTGACCTCTGCCAGTGGGTGCCTCACCAAGCATGGCTATTTCCTTTCCTGGAAGATAGCCCTTTGATCATTGGTAGAGTCACCTTGTCACACCCAGAACTCAGTTTATCCTGGTCACTCCTCTTCAACTGTGCTTCTGTTGGTGTCTCAGCATCATGAGGACAGAAGCCCAAAACCTGACTCCCTTCCCCAGATCGGTACATTTAGGCAGCGCGCACATTCTCTCTCTCTCTCTCTCTCTCTCTCTCTCTCTCTCTCTCTCTGCGCGCCCAGAGCCTCAGCTCAGCTGCCTCCTCGCAGGCAGCTATCTCCCTCTCCAGTCCTGTTCTGGGGCCATCGTGGGTGTGGGACAGGACCTGTGACTCTTCCCTTACTTGTCCAGTCCCCCACCACACACACTCCCATGGTTTGTAGCCCAAGAGTCTCTGGTAGGGCTGCCTTATAAGGTTGTGTGATCCTGGATGGTCTTACTTAGAACTTGGGCTTCCCCTGGAGAAAGGCTAGCCAGGGTGGCATCTGAATGGGACTGCAGCCTGCTGACAGGAGGCCTGGCCACCTGTCCTGGGGAGCAGCACTGGGCTTTTTTTTTTTTTTAAAGACAGGGTCTCACTCTGTGGCCCAGGCTGGGGTGCAGTGGCACTATCACGGCTCACTGCAGCCTTGAACTCCTGGGCCTAAGTGATCCTCCCACCTCAGCCTCCTGAGTAGCTGGAACCACAGCTGTGTGACTCCACACCTGAGCACCAGGCTGGATGCGGCTTTCTCTTGTAGCTTGACAGGAGCCAGGGAGGGGATCCCACTTGGAGCTGGTATACCCAACACAGCTGTGGAAAAGTTGACCACAGGTGGCCACTTCCCCCTGATTTGATTATCGTATGATCATTCATTAAACTGTTTCTCTGTTTTGTTTTGTTTCGTTTTTTGAAACAGAGTCTCACTCTGTCGTCCAGGCTGGAGTACAGTGGCAAGATCTCGGCTCACTGCAACCTCCACCCCCAGGTTCAAGCAATTCTCCTGCCCCCGCCTCCTCCAGTAGCTGGGACTACCAGGCCTCCACCAGGCACAACCTGGCCTAAATTTTTTGTTAAATGTTTAGTAAGAGACAGAGTTTCACCAATCGGTTGCGGCCAGTGCTTGTCCTTTAGGTACTTGCCTTGCTCAAAAGCTGATCCGCCCCACCTTGGGCCTGCCCAAAGTGCTGGATTACAGGCGTGAAACACTGTGCCGCAGCCTGCGCCTTTTCTTTTTTTCTTTTTGAGATGGAGTCTCCATTCGTCGGCGCCAGGGGCTGGAGTAAGGCCAAGTGGCCCACTGAATTCGTCGGCTCACTTGGCCAAAACACCTCCGCCCGTCGCGCACTCGTTCAGACGCATTCCCGCCTCAGCCTAGACACCGAGTACCTGGGATTACAGGCAGCCACCACCAAGGCACCCCGGCCTAAATTTTTGTATTTTTAGTAAAAAAGAAGACGGGGGCGTTTCCCCTGTGTTAGGTCAATGCTGGTCTCCAAGCTCCTGACGCTTTAAGTGTTCGCACCCACCTCTGGCCCCTCCCAAAGTGCTGAGATTATCAGGCCGTGGTCACCCGAGCCGCCAGCCCTTGTTTTGCCTTTTACACAGGCTTTATCTTTTTGAGGCAGTTTTAACGGGTTAGGCGAAAAATCGAACGGAATGTCCAAAGAGTTGCCATGCCCCTCCTCTCCCACCCAGCACACAGTTTTCTATTCTTCACCTCCTGCATTAGTGTGGCGCATCTGTTACAATTGACTGGATGTTGATACATTATTATTAACAAACGCATAGTTTACCTTCTGGTTCCCTCTTGGTGGTGTAGGTTCTCTGTGTGGCCATGATTACAGTATCATAATAGTCGTTTCACTGCCCTAAAATTTTTCTGTGTTCCCCCCACTCATCTCACTCTCTCCTTGCCAACCGCTGGCAACCACTGATCTTTTACTGTCTCCAGAGTTTTGCCTTTTCCAGAATGTTCTATAGTTAGAATCAGACAGTATGTAGCCTTTTCAGATTAGCTTATTTCACTTACTGTGATATACATTTAAGGTTCTTCTATGTCTTCTCACAGCTTGAGAGCATATTTCTTGTTTTTTTTTTTTAATTATTATTATTATTATTATTTATTTTTGAGATGGAGTCTCGCTCTGTCCCCCAGGCTGGAGTGCAGTGGCACGATCTTGGCTCACTGCAGGCTCCACCTCCTGGGTTCACGCCATTCTCCTGCCTCAGCCTCCCAAGTAGCTGGGACTACAGGTGCCCGCCACCACACCTGGCTATTTTTTGTATTTTTAGTAGAGATGGGGTTTCACCGTCTTAGCCAGGATGGTCTCGATCTTCTGACCTCATGATCCCCCTGCCTCGGCCTCCCAAAGTGCTGGGATTACAGGCATGAGCCACCGCGCCCAATCTTTTTTAAAAATTATTTTATTTTATTTTATTTTATTTGAGATGGAGTCTCGCTCTGTCACCCAGACTGGAGTGTAGTGGCATAATCTTGGCTCACTGCAGCCTTTTCCTCTCGGGTTCAAGCAATTCTTGTGCCTCAGCCTTCTGAGTAGCTGGGACTAAAGGCACACACCACTATGCCCGGCTAACTTTTGCATTTTTAGTAGAGACGAGGTTTTACCATTTTGGCCAGGCTGGTCTCAAACTCCTTACCTCAGGTAATCTGCCCACCTCAGCCTCCCAAAGTACTGGGATTACAGGCGTGAACCATCGCGTCCGGCCTGTTTTTTAAATAGGGTGCTCTGTTGCCTCGGTTAGTCTCAAACTCATGGCCTCAAGCAATCCTCCCTCCTCAGCTTCCTAAAGTGCTGGTATCACAGGTGTGAGCCACTGCACCTGGCTGAGAGCTCATTTTTTTTCAGCACTGAATAATATCCTATTGTCTGGATATACATCCTTTTATCACCTGCTGTTTCTTTGTCTTTTATTATTATTATTATAAAAGAGATAGCTAATCATCATTAAATGTATATCAACAGAAAAGAAAACATTTAGAAAAATCCCTCAGAGTCCCTCTGTGGGGCAGTTCATTGTATGTTCTTCTAGTATGTTCTTTAAATTTTTTTTCTTGTATATTCTTTCTAGTCCAAATCATATTCTTCTGGAAACAGAAAAGGCTTTCTGTCCGGCTTGCTAGATAATGTCAAACAAGAATTAGCCAAAAACAAAGAAATGAAAGAAAGTATAAAAAAATTCCGTGACGAGGCCAGAAGGCTAGAAGAATCAGACGTGCTCCAGGAGGCCAGAAGGAAATACGTGAGTTTCCTTGCTGCTTTTTTTTCCCCCACCCAGGCTGGAGTGTAGTGGCGCGATCTTGGTTCACTGCAACCTCTGCCTCCCAGGTTCAAGTGATTCCCCTGCTTCAGCTTCCTAAATAGCTGGGATTACAGGCAGGCAACACCACGCCCAGCTAATTTTTATATTTTTAGTAGAGACGGGGTTCCACCATGTTGGCCAGGCTGGTCTCGAACTTCTGACCTCAAGTGATCCGCCCTCCTAAGCCTTCTAAATGCTGGGATGACAGGCGTGAGCCACCGCATTAGGCCCCTTTGCTTCTTACCTTTCTTGGTTGACATGTTTGTTTCCAGGGCCAGGGTTTCTCCAGGCCAGGGACAGCCAGAGGAGCTCAGAGCTGGACGGCTGGGGACAGGGTGGCTTGTGAGGAAGTGAGGTCACTGCTCTGATGCACTAGTGAGAGGGAGCCAGGGGACAGGAGCGGGTCTCCAGGCCTCTGGGCTCTGCCATGCGACCATGCAGCGTTCTGTACAGCTTGAAGCATGGTCCCCAGACCAGCAGCAGTGGCTGCTCCTGGGAGGGGATGAGCAGTGCAGAGGCTCACACCCTCCTAAACTGCCAGGCCAGCACCCGCATCTTCACAGGCCCCCAGGCCCTTCATGCACACCAGCTTTGGGCTGCAGCACTGCTGAGAGCTCCCAGCTGTAGACCTCTGAGTGGAGCCGGGTGGAAACTGGGTGATGGCGCTGATATTTTATTTTATTTTATTTTATTTTGTTTTATTTTATTTTATTTTATTTTGTTTTGTTTTGTTTTATGAGATGGAGTCTTGCTGTGTCACCCAGGCTGGAGTGCAGTGGCGCCATCTTGGCTCACTTCAACCTCTGGCTCCTGGGTTCAGATGATTCTCCTGCCTCAGCCTCCCAGGTAGCTGGGATTACAGGCGCCCGCCACCACACCGAGCTGATTGTTTTTTTGTTGTTGTTTTTTGAGACAGTCTTACTCTGTTGCCCAGGCTGGAGTGCAGTGGTACGATTTGGCTCACCACAACCTCTGCCTCCTAGGCTCAAGCAATTCTCCTGCCTCAGCCTCCTGCGTAGCTAGGATTACAGGCACGTACCACTACCACCCAGCTAATTTTTGTATTTTTAGTAAAGATAGGGTTTCACCATGTTGGCCAGGCTGGCCTTGAACTCCTGACCTCAAATGATCCACCTGCCTTGGCCTCCCAGAGTGTTGAGATTACAGGCGTGAGCCACCGCGCCCAGCCCTGTATTTCTTTTTGTAGAGATGGGGTTTCTTCACCATGTTGGCCAGGCTGGTCTCAAACTCCTGGCCTCAAGTGATCTGCCCGTCTTAGGTTCCCAAAGTGCTGGGATTACGGGTGTGAGCCACTGCTCCCAGCCTGTGATTATTAATTGTGACTTCTTTTCTTGAGCAGCTGCCAAGCCCTGGCTTCTGGGAATGGCTCTGCGTTCCTTTATTTGTAAGGGCCCTGTGAGGCGGGTACCGTGTCCCATCTTAGCAATGAGTGCTGAGCCTCAGAGATGCACCTGCCACGGGACCCGTGGAATTTGGTTTGGTTTGGTTTAGTTTGTGTTTTTTTTTATTTGTTTATTGTTTTTCTCTTTTGAGATGGAGTTCCGCTCTGTCACCCAGGCTGGAGTGCAGTGGTTCGGTCTCAGTTCACTGCAACCTCTGCCTCCCTGGGTTCAAGCGATTCTCCTGCCTCAGCCTCCCGAGTAGCTGGGATTAGAGGCGTGTGCCACCACGCCCGGCTCATTTTTGTGTTTTTAGTAGACATGGGGTTTCATCACGTTGGCCAGGCTGGTGTTGAACTCCTGACCTCAGGTGATTCATCCACCTTGGCCTCCCAGAGTGCTGGGATTACAGGCATGAGCCACCGTGCCCAGCCTAGTTTGGTTTTTTGAGACAGGGTCTTGCTCTGTCACCCTGGCTGGAGTGCAGTGGTGTGATCACAGCTTACTGCAGTCCTGACCTTCCCATGTTCAGGTGATTCTCCCACCTCAGCCTCCTGAGTAGCTGTGACTAAAGGCATGGGATACCACATCTGGCTAATTTTTTTATGTTTCTAGAGACAGGGTCTCTCCATGTTGCCTGTGCTGGTCTCGAACTCCTGGGCTCAAGTGATCCTCCCATCTCAGCTTCCCAAAGAGCTGGGACTACAGCTCACATGCCCAGCCCTTCTTTATCATGAATGCAGGGGTCATCTGAAGACAGAGCAGGCTGAGTTTGGAGTGGGATGGATGGGGCGGGAGACGTAAGACCAAGCTGTGGTGGCTGGAGGCTGGGTGAGGGGCACAGTGATGACAAGCAAGGCCACCTCCTACCACTGAGTGAAAGGCGAAGGCTGGGCCTCCTGTTCTCAGGTGGTAGCTGCCAAGCAGGGGCCCGAGTCTGCCGGCCTCTGGGCACGGAGCTCACCGTTGCGGAGACCCTCAATCCAAGCCATATGGGCAGCCGGGGGCCCTGGAGGCAGCGCGTGCTGGCAGGTGCGGGGACGGAGGGGCTGCTGAGAAAATGCCTCTTGGACCTTTGGCTATAAGAGAAATGTCACTGCCATGTCAGAACACACAGACTTAAAGACACAATGCTTGGCCAGGCACAGCGGCTCACGGCTGTAATCCCAGCACTTTGGGAGGCCGAGGCAGGTGGATCACTTGAGGTTAGAAATTTGAGACCAGCCTGGCCAACTTAGTAAAACCCTGTCTACTGAAAATACAAAAATTAGCCAGGCATGATGGCGGGCCCTGTAATCCCAGCTACTTGGGAAGGTAGGGCAAGAAAATCACTTGAACCTGGGTGGAGGAGGTTGGAGTGAGCTGAGATCATGCCACTGCACTCCAGTCTGGGCAACGGAGTGAGACATCGTCTCAAAAAAAAAAAAAAGACACAATGCTCTTTACCTAGAAAACCATCGAGTCAGAAACCATGCGGACGAGCGAGGTGCTGCGGAAGAAGCTTGGGGAGCTGACGGGCACCGTGAAGGAGGTAACAGTGCCATGCCTGTCTGGAGCTGCTGGGGCCATCGAAGTGCCCCGGCCGCTGGAGGCTGGAGGAAGAGTGGGATCCTGGGTGGGGGCGGCTTGGCAGCAGTGGGTGGCATGGGGCGTGCTGCCACCCTCGTGAAGGTTTCAGGAGTTCTGGGCACACGCAGGGTGAGGTCAGACTGGGAACCTTGCATGACAGTTGACCCAGTAAGTCGGCAGCAGTAAGTGCTACTAGCCAGGACTCGAGGAGAACATGAAGATGTTTTTCCTGCCTAAAAATAGGAGGGGAGGGGCCGCTTCCACCGCCTCCCGAGGGTAGAGGCAGGAGCGAGGATTCCTGGGGTGCTGCGGGCTCTCCTGTTGCCTATTCTGTCCAACTTTGTCCAGCATGGGGCGCCCTGCCCGCCCTTCTTTCCCTGGGATCCCCTCCTTGGGAATCCTTGCTGCCAGGCAGTTCCCGGGTCTCCAGAGGACTCCTCCCCATTTTGGAGAGGGGCCAGTTGACCCAGCGTCTCACTCAGAGCCCAGGGGCCAGCACTCCGGAAGCCATGGCGGTGTTCTCATGGCTCTGGGGGTTCCGCGCACCACAGGAGCACAGAAGGCCTCTGCCGGCCTCAGGGAGCCAGATCTGCCCTTCCCTCTGGCAGGAATTAATTCCTTCTGCCCACCCCCTGCCCTCGGGGCTGGTGCCAATGCCGCCTCTCTGTGTCTGTCTCAGTAGAGCCTTCATGAAGTCAGTAAAAGTGATCTGGGCCGGAAAATCAAGGAGGGTGTGGAAGAAGCAGCCAAGACAGCCAAGCAGTCAGCCGAGTCGGTATCCAAAGGTGGGGAGAAGCTGGGCAGGACGGCGGCCTTCAGAGCCCTCTCCCAGGTGAGCCCAGGCCTGGGCCAGGGCGTGCAGCCTGGGGCGGCTGAACCCCAGACACCCACCCCAGCCCCGTTGTGCCTCCCTCGCAGGGGGTGGAGTCGGTGAAGAAGGAAATTGACGACAGCGTCCTGGGGCAGACTGGGCCCTACCGGAGGCCCCAGCGACTCCGGAAGAGAACGGAGTTTGCGGGAGAGAAGTTCAAGGAGGAGAAAGTGTTTGAGCCAAATGAGTAGGTGCCAGCCTGTGGCCCTCGCTGCCCCCATTTTGGGCAGCTTTCACTGCTGTCTATTTCGGGCGCCCACCAATGGTTCCCTCCTGGGTCCGTTTCTTGAGTTTGCCTTTTGCCCAAGGTTCCCGGCTCCCTCGAATTTGAGGGTGAGAGGTAAGGGCGGGGTCCTCAGAGCCCCTAGGTTTGAGGTCTCAGCTGCCTGCTGTCCTCTGCTGCCCCTCCCTGCGGCCACAGGAGGGCACAGGGTGGCCCCGGCGCCGCCGCTCACCCCAGCGCCCACTCTCTTCCCCAGGGAGGCCCTGGGGGTCGTGCTGCACAAGGACTCCAAGTGGTACCAGCAGTGGAAGGACTTCAAGGAGAACAACGTGGTGTTTAACCGTGAGTGCGGGTGTCTCGGAGGGCAGGTGACCGTGTCCCGGGCAGTCGGCGGACCGCAGGGTGATCCTGCATTGGGCACAAGACAGAGCCCCATTTTGCAGAGGAGGAGGCCAGGGTCAGAGTGGGCCGGTCACTTCTTTGCGGTCACCTGATGGTGCAGTGTACATTCTGCCGCCAGAAGCCAGGCGCTCCCTCATAAGCACAGTCAGGGCCCCGAAATGAGCCGCAGGCCCCTGTCCCTTGTCCTGTGCGGACTGCTAGAGGCCTGTGTTTCCTTTGTAGTGAAAGCAACAGCCAGCGGGGTGGCGGCCCATAACTTACACAGCCCCGCTAGGGCCGCAGCTGAGGTGCCTCTGCGCCTGGCCAGGTAGGTGGGCAGGCAGCGGTCCCCAAGCACAGATGAGGATGCAGGCCCACAGCCGTCCCCTCCCTGACCCCACCCGTCAGGGTGGATCCCGCAGGGGCCACAGAAAGCCCCTGGAAGCTGTGAGGGAGGGGTGTGTTTCTGGAAGGGGCCCCTTCTCCAGCACCTGCCCTGTCATCCACAGGGTTCTTCGAGATGAAGATGAAGTATGATGAAAGCGACAACGCGTTCATCCGGGCATCCCGGGCCCTTACGGACAAGGTCACCGATTTGCTGGGTGAGTGAGTCATCCCCGGACCCCGAAGGCTGGTGGTGGGGTGGGGTCCCTGGCCCTCCCTAAACTCCCGGCTCCGCTCCCTGCAGGGGGCCTGTTCTCCAAGACAGAGATGTCGGAGGTGCTCACAGAGATCCTCCGGGTGGACCCAGCCTTTGACAAGGACCGGTTTCTGAAGCAGTGCGAGAACGACATCATCCCCAATGTCCTGGAGGTGGGTGCCGCGCCCCCAGGAACCCTCCCAGGTGGCAGGTCCTGGCTCCACCACCTCCCCCGCCCCAGCCGGCACCCTGGGTGCTGCCAGGGAACTCCGCTGCCGAGGCTGTTTTCTGAGGGGGCTGGTTGCACACGGGCTCCTGCCTGGCTGCAGCTGCCCCACGAGCTATGCCCGAAGCCCTTCCTGGGCCTTCCTGGCACCTCCAGTGCCTCCAGGTGCCGTTTCCCTCACTCCTCCTGCCTGAGGCTGTTGTTCCCTTGAGGTTGCTGGGAGCAGCTGCTGGAGTCTAGGGTTTATTTCAGGTTCCTGGAGCCCCTCGCCCCTTGGGAGAAGTGGGCGTCCGTCCTCAGACATCAGAGCTGGCCCCAGGCCACCTCTGACCCAGACCTGCAGCCAAGGGGGTTCCCTCACGGTGCCGTCCCTGGCAACCAGACCCTCGTTGGGCTTATAGATGAGGGTATCTTGCTCAGGATCATGCTGCAGCCCGCCCCCTACAAGCCTCTCCCTGAGGTCGGCGGCCTCTTGTCTTCCCTGCTGCCTCTGCCTCTCTGCAGCCCCCAGGATGCAGGAGGAGCCTGGACAGCTTCGGCCCAGTCGGGCCAGGCCTCTGGAAGGCCGTTCATGGGACTCTCCATCCTCGGCCCCGCTGGCCGCCGCCCAGCGTCCCCTTCCTCCTCCAGTTTCCCGTATCCTTCCCGCCACTTCAGGCAGGGCTGGGAGGCGGTGCAGATGGGCGCCATGCCCCAGAACAGCAGCCTGAGCACGCAGCGCCTTCCGGGCTGGGTGGTGGGAGCCGAGTGTTCTGGCCACCCGCCCCCTGCCGCTCACAGTTTTCACCACCAGCATCCGGCGCCTTCCCGCTCTTCTCCCCGCTTCAGGCGCCTCCCTCCCCCGCATCGGATCCGGCCCAGGCTCTGGGATCCTGTGGAAGCAGCTCCCAGCCCAGTCCCGCCCCCTGCAGCCCACCCTCCCTCTCGCTGCCCCCAGCCGTTAGGAGGCAGCCGGTCCCATGGTGGGCCTTGCAGTCCGAAACGTGGTCCCGCGGGGGACAGAGGACATGGGCTCACTGCGGGAGCCGGAGTGTGGGTCCTCATCTCCCTGGCTCGGATTCCTGACCAGGCTGAAAGCTGGGTCCCCAGCCACCCCAGCCAGACCCCCGGTTCCACGGGGTCCCCCCCGGGGTGCCTCCTGGGTGGTCATCCGCAGGCTGCCCTCCGCCTGTGCCCAGGCCAGAGCCAGGCACTCACACCAGCAGGGACGGGCCTGGGGAGGGACACCCAGTGCCACAGCTCCACCTGTGCCCCACAGGTGGCAGCTGGGGGTGTCCAAGGAAACCCCCCGCACCACTGGAGCATGTTCCTGGGACCTCGCCTGCTGCCTGAAAAGCCCACTCTCGTTCTGGTGCTTATTTTCCCCTTCCTTTTTAGGCCGATATTTCTGAGAGAGGCTTGACATTTACTCAAAGGACTGGTTGCTGATTGAAGCTGTGAGTTACTGCTTTTTTTTTTTTTAAAGCCTAATAAAATCCCATGGAGAAGTTTCATTTCGGTGGCTTCCGGTTAGGGGTAGGCTCCCGACGGCAGGGACCTGGGCTCCTGGTCGGGTCCCTCGTCTCACCCTCGGAGGAGCCTGCCCGCCGCCCGACCTTCCATTCTCAAGCGTGGTTACAATCCTGGGGCCTTCTCAGGCTGGACACCGGGTCCACCGCAGGTCCTTTGCTCCCAGACTGTAAAACTCGGTTAGGGAGATTCCCTTTCTTGGCTGTGTCTAACGAAGAGGAGCTGGCTGGGGTTCCCCTGGGGGCCTTGAGAAGATTCACAAAGGCCGCCAGTTTTTACTGGGCTTTTTTTCCCTCCACAATCTTAAATAATTTTGGGTTCAGGGTCTGGGGCGCTGGTGGGCCCGATGCTTCATCCAGCAGCCCAAGGGTTAAGCCCAGGCATTTCAAGGACTGCCTGGGAAAGCAGCAGATGACCGTCTCTACAAAAAAATTAAAATGAGCCAAGTGGCCGGCACAGCGACTCACGCCTGTAATCCCCAGCACTTTGGGAGGCCAGGCAGGCGGATCACTGGGTTCAGGAGTTCAAGACCAGCCTGGGCAACATGGTGAGACCCCATCTCTACTAAAATAAAAAATTAGCCAGGCGTGCTGATGCATGTCTGTAATCCCAGCTACTGGGGAGGCTGAGGCAGTAGAATTGCTTAAATCCAGGAGGCGGAGGTTGCAGTGAGCCAAGGTCGTGCCACTGTACTTCAGCCTGGGCAACAGAGCAAGATTCTGTCTCCAAAAAAGAAAAAAATGAGCCAAGCATGGTGGCAGGCACCTGTTATCCCATCTATTAGAGAGGCTGAGGTGGGAGGATCACTTGAGCCCAGGAGGTCAAGGCTGCAGTGAGTCATCGCACCACAGCACTTCAGCCTGGGTGACAGAGCAAGACACTGTCACTAAGGAAATGATAGGCCAGGCGTGTTGGCTCACGCCTGTAGTCCCAGCACTTTGGGAGGCTGAGGTGGGCATATTGCCTGAGGTCAGGAGTTCAAGACCAGTCTGGCCCACATGGTGAAACCCCATCTCTGCTAAAAATACAAAAATTAGCCAGGCCTGGTGGTGGACGCCTGTAGTCCCAGCTACTCAGGAGGCTGAGGCAGGAGAACTGCTTCAACCCAGGAGGCAGAGGTTGCAGTGAGCCGGGATTGCGCCACTGCACTCCAGCCTGGGTGACAGAGCGAGACTGTCTGGAAAAAGAATAAAAAGGAAATAATAATTTTAGTGAAAGAGAGTCCCAGGAGAGGTGATTGCAGCCGTGAAGCAAAATGAGGTCTTCGGGGGCCTGACTGCCCTGTTTCTGGTGGCTGCAGTGGCCTGGGGTGCATGCTGGGGCAGGGGGTCAGGGAGAGTGTGGGTCTCCCACATGACTGTGGGGGCTGGGAGCCAAGTGGGGTTTGAAGGCGTCACCCACCCCACTTCCCAGGCTAGAGCAGAGTCCTGTGCTCACCTCCCAGGAGTCGTGAGAATGAAGTGTGATCACAGAAACCAGGGCAGTGCTGGCCTCGGGCCAGAGGGAACCCGCAGAGGTAACCCTGGTAACCAAACAGCCCCTGGAAGGGTAGGGGGAGCTTTCATCGGTGACCCGGGGCCGCCACCTATGGGGGCGCAGGTGAGGTTATGGCACTGGGTGCCCCGCCCCAGGCCCTGGGGAGCCTCCAGGGCCTGCCAAGTTTCTCGGACGCATTAGCTGCCCTCACGACACGATCCTGAAACATAGATCCAAACAAAACATCGATGGTCTTCCCACACAGGAAGGAGCTGTGTGTCCTGATGAGGCCCCAATTGCTTCTCGGAGTCAAAGCTTGGGATTCGGGGGCCACCAGCAGCACCGCGTACCTGGGGTCCGGTCCAGCTGTCTGCCCCATCCGTGGCAGCCTCCCTATCCCTGGCCCAGTCCATCCCCGTGGGGCTCCCAGCTCCCGTCTCCTCAGGCCACCTCATCTCACCCTATTCGCTCCCCGACCTGTGTGTTTCTTTCCCCGGCTTCTTCGTATTAAGCGATCCAGAATGTTTCTTGGCTAATTCTATTCTGCACCCAGCTCATAAACAACTTGGAAAAAGCAGAGGAGAAGATGTCAGATTTTCTTTTTAAATACTCCCCTGCATGGTGACTAATCCAGCAGGCATTTATGAGTTTCGATGTAGATTTTTTTTTTTTGGGGTTTTTTTTTTTTTTTTTTTTTTTTTTTTTTTTTTTTTTTTTTTGGTTTTTTGTTTTGTTTTTACCTTGGGACCATTGCGCCACAGCCGGCTCGCTTTGCCGGGGAGCTGCTGGTGCCCTGGAAACAGCTGAAGCTCCAGCCACATCCACAGAAGTGTTTTTAAAATGTCACCTTTAAGAAACCGAACAAGTAGGATTGGCTCTGGGTTTTTTTTTTCCTCCCCTCCGCGGATCAGTCATTTCCATAAAAAGTAGATGCTATCGGAACATCTCATGGTTTCATGCCAAGCCCAGAGAAACCTCCAGTGAAAACGTGTCTTGGGGGCTGCTTCCTGTGCCTGGCACAGGCGCAAGGGGGTGGGGTTGAGGGTGACACTGGGGGCTGGTCAGTGACAGAGGCAGCCTCGGGCTGAGGACAGATCCTAGAAGAGGCGTTTGATCTCAGGCCAAGATTCAGAGTGTGGTGAATATGGAAGTATTAAAGATCAGCCAAGGGGCCGCCAGCTTAGCTCTGGGAGTGGATTTGGGATTTTGTTCCAAGAGAATCACCCACTTTGCTGATTAATCCTGTTTTCATTGGGTCATCTGGATAGAGTGTGGTTCCCAGGAGAGGGAAATGTGTGATCTGGGCCAGTAAGTGGGTGGCACCTGCCTTCCCACTTGGACTTGGGTTCTTGGCCTCTGCCATTGCTGGCTGGCGGCAGGGCGCCAGGGCATGTGGGCAGCGGCTCTGTGTGGCGTGGCGCCTGTCCTGGCGGCATCACGCAGACGCGTCGGCCTCTCATTGCAGACTTACAGCCAGCTGGCCTACCCCATCCAGCAGGCCAAGGCGCTGGGTCTCCAGTTCCATTCTCACATCCTAGACATTGACAACATTGACGTAAGCACCTCTCGCAGTAGGGGCCCGGGCCACCATCGGGGGTGGGAACTGTGGCCCAGACAGGGCCCAGGAGGTGGCCTTGCCAGGGGCTGGGGGCCATGTGCTGATCCGAGAGGTCCTGGGCTTCTCCCAGGGGAGGGTCTCAAGGGAAGCCTGGGCCTGGTCTGAGAGGCAGGGCCCACGGGGAGGGCCTGGTGCTGGAGCCTTCTCCCAGCAGGGCCGTCCTCTGAGGCCCACCCCTCTCGGCCCCTCTGCAGCTGGCCATGGGCAAGATGATGGAGCCGGGGCCGGTGCTCATCATCACTTTCCAGGCGCAGCTGGTGATGGTGGTCCGGAACCCTAAAGGCGAGGTGGTGGAGGGCGACCCGGTGAGTGCGGAGCGGGACGGGGCGGGCAGACGGCACCGCCTGTCCCCAAGATCTGTGTGTGGCCATCCGGCAGGGACCCCAGCTCAGAGCCCCGAAGCCCTGGGACTGGGTGGGGATGCGGAGAAACTCCTGGGCCAGAGTTTGGGGTTGAGGGAGGTTGGAGACCAGCAGACCTGCCTTTTTTTTTTTTTTTTTTTTTACCGAGGCCTGAGTGGTTCCTGAGTCTAGGCAATTGTGCTGGCCTCTGCTCCCAGCCCCGGGGGAGGTTGCCGGTGGCTCCTGCCCCACAGAGCCTGGCCCCTCCCAGAGCCACCTGGGTTGTCTCACCCCTCTCAACGGCACCCTTCCCACCCCACCCTGCAGGACAAGGTGCTGCGGATGCTGTACGTGTGGGCGCTCTGCCGAGACCAGGACGAGCTCAACCCCTACGCGGCCTGGCGGCTCCTGGACATCTCAGCCTCCAGCACCGAGCAGATCCTCTGAGTGTGGTGCCACAGCCAGGGAGCCCCGGGCTGGGTCATCAGGCACAGAGGCACCACGACACCCCCTGCAGCAACTCCAGACCTCTGGGAACAAGACTGCGGGCTCTGCCCCCAGCTCTGCCAGAAGAGCTGCAAGACCAGCTGGCCGGGGAGGGGACAACGGGCTGCTGCGGGTGCCTGGCAGCTGGAGACACTCCCCCCAGGGCCGGCCCCTGCCCTGTTGCTCTGCCCTGCAGGGGTCCCGGTGCCTGGTCACCTGGGGTGCACACAGGCCACCCAGTGCCAAGAGGCCCCAGGGCCCAGGGACTCCCTCCACAGCAGGGTGGGACCCGGGACCTACTGCTCAGTGGCCCGCTGGCCACGTCAGCTAAGCCACTTTAGGTCCATTTTTTATTTTAACAGTGCTCTTCCATTCTGTGCGTAAGCCCGAGATTTGGAAAGAATAAAACACCGAATTGCAGAAGAGCAGCTCCGGAGTCTGAAGTGTCTTCTCTGGCGCGGGAGTGGCCGGGGCGAGGGTGGGGGTGGGAGCGGGCGGCTGCTCTGGGAGGCGGTCAAGGTCGAGCGAGGAACTGCAGCCGCAGTGGGTGGACGCCTTGCCCAGGGCTGGACCCTGGGTTGGAAGACAAGGCCCGTGACAGACAAAACTAGGGGGACTTACTCATCCCAGTGACCTGCCTGAGCTCTCTGAGGATTGAGGTCCCCAGGGCCAGGGGAGCTTGAGTGCCCATATGAGTGTTTTAGGGACACTGAGGTCCCCCCACAAACGGAGTCTGGAGAGGGGTCTATCACAGAGGAGAATGCAGGCACAGGGCAGGCTGAGGGGGCCGAGGTGCCAGTGGAGGTGGGAGTGGCAGCTGCCCACGCCCTGGCGAGGTCTTGGGTGCTCGCGGGTCCCCGGGGCTGGAGCTCCGTCCTCCCGCAGACCCGGGCGGGGTCGCGGGCTCGCGCGCCGCTCCCTGCGCAGCCTCCGCCCCCCGCAGCCCCGCCCCCCGCGGCGGCCCCGCCCCCGTCGCCATGGGAACAGCCGCGGCGGCCCGGCTCGCGCGCTGCTCGCCTGCCTCGGTCTCCGCCGCTCCAGGGGCGGGTGGGGTGGGCTGAGTCGGAGCCCGGGCCGCCGCCGCCGCTGCCGGGGAGAGGCCGAACGCGGAGCCGGCGCCGGGGTCCCGGAGAGAGCGCGGCCGCCGGGCGGTCGGTCCCCGTCCGGGTCGAAGCCAGGGTGAGGGGCGCGCCGGGGCGGGGGCGGTGGGGGAGGGGGTCCCGGGCCGCCGAGAACAAAGGGAGCGGGGGGCAGGGGCCGCGGGGACCGTCCCCACGCCGCGCACCCGGGCCGCGGCCGGTCGTTCGCACCTGTTGTGTGCGGCCCGGGCCGGGCCGGCTCCCTTTCCCGGCTCTCCGCGCCCCCACCTGCGCGCACGGCCAGAGTTGGGTCCCCGCGTGCTGGTGGCGGCGATCCGGCGGGCCAGGCATGGGCGTAGCCCGGGGACCGAGGCGCGGGCGGGGGATGGGGTCGGGCACGGTAAGGGGGGCGGCGGCGGCGGCGGGAGGGGGCGAAGCGGAGGAGGCGCGGGAGGGAGGGCGCAGCCTCATCCCAGGCGCCCCGGGCGGGTCCCCTCCTCCGCAGGGCGCGCGGCGATGTAAGCCATGAGCGCGACGTGGACGCTGTCGCCGGAGCCCCTGCCGCCGTCGACGGGGCCCCCGGTGGGCGCGGGCCTGGATGCGGAGCAGCGCACAGTGTTCGCCTTCGTGCTCTGCCTGCTCGTGGTGCTGGTGCTGTTGATGGTGCGCTGCGTGCGCATCCTGCTCGACCCCTACAGCCGCATGCCCGCCTCGTCCTGGACCGACCACAAGGAGGCGCTCGAGCGCGGGCAGTTCGACTACGCGTTGGTGTGAGGGGCGCGGCGCCCCCCAGCCGGCCCTGCACTGGGTCTCCTAGGGTCGGCCCTGCGGGGGGCGCCGCGGGGCCAGGACTGCGTTCAGGATCCCGCCTCGGAGCTCCCTGCCCCGGGTAGAGGGGGAGGGAGTTGGGAGAAGCCCAGCCGTTCCCCCTCGAGACCCCTCCCATGTCCCCTCCTGGCCTGGCCGGAACCCCACCTCGTGCCTTTATCCGCCCTGTCCCTTCCTCTCTGCGCATCTCACCCGCCCGGCTGGCCCCCGCCCCCCGCCCCCCGCCTCTGAATCCCAGGAGGGAGGAGGACCCCCGCACAGCCCCCTCCCCAGCGTGTAAGTGGCTCTGCTATTGTGCTTTCCTGGAAGTGGGGACCCCCTTGTCCCTCCTTCCTCCCCTGTTGTCTGGCCGTCGTCAACCCCACCTTGACTGAGTGTTGAGCCCGTCCTTGGGCTCTGGCCCTGCGGGGCAGGCTCTCTCGGGCCCACGGGGCAGACGCTGCATACCAATTTGCCCTGCACCGCCTGTCCCGGAGACGGAGCCCGAAGGCCTGCCATGGCGGCTGTGTCGAGGATGCGTGGCTCCTGCCGTGGCGGGAGAGTGTGGGCAGGATCATTACTGCCCCCAACCCGGGCCCCTGGACAGGTCAGCGCGCCCTGCCCCGGTGCCCACCGCTGCCCCCCATCCGCCCTCCTGCCACTTCCCGCCGACTCCCCTGCCGTGCCGCCCGCAGCCCTCCCATGCCGTTCTACTCCCTGCCTCTGAGCCGAACATGATAATAAAAGCTATTATTGAGCGCTTACTGCATGCCAAGCAGCGTGCTGAGTTGGCACCTCCTGTTTATAGCCTATCTCCTCTTCGGGATGGTGAGAATCAGCCAGGCCCCGTTAGCATCCCAATTCTACAGGCCAGGAGACCGAGGGCCGGCAGCTCCAGTGACTTCCTTGCCCCATAGTCACATGGCTGGAGTCTGGTAGGGCTGGAAGTGGAACCTAGGTCTGGCTTCTGCATGTTTTTAAAGCTTCCCAGGACTGCAAAGACACCAAGATCACAAGCCCTTTCACCGGCTTTGCGGGGCTGATGTGTAACCATCTCGATATCCCCAGCTCCCTCCCTCCCCTCCACACACAATTCTGTTGACCTGGGGAGGCGCTGGGGGTGGTGAGAGACAGCCAGCCCTGCGGGGAGCTGGGAGGAACACCCTCCACCAGCCCTGTAGGGAGGCTCCGACGACTGTACCTGCAGCCTAAGCCTCCTCCCCCTGCCCACCACCGTTGGCAGCGTTTGTGAGTCTGGCGTGGTGGAACGGTGACCACAGACGGAGTGGGCTGGCTGCGCTCCAAGGCCCTCCCAGGAGATGTGCAACCCCCGGGGAGCCGTGTGCAGTATGTGTGGGGAGAAATGAGCGTTTCTATAAAAGGAAGGCTGGGTGAACGCAGACTCCGCGAACAGAATTTTACCCACTTGGATTACTAGCTGGGCGTAGGGCGCGGTGCCGTGGGAGGACATCTGCTTCCCTCCCCCAGACCCGACCCCCAGTCCACACCCACAGGGCAGGTGAGGCTGATGGAGGGAGCCCCAAGCGGGGACCCAGCACCCCCAGGGATTTGAGGTCAGCCCTGACTCCAGCGCCCCTCCCTCCCCGCCTTCTAGGAATCCTTGAGGTCCCAAGGATACCCCAGGGGACACATTCCACTCCCACCAGCCTCCTGCCACTTGGGACAGCCCACCCCTTTCTTCCTCTAGCCCCCTAGCCTGGGGCTTGACTCCTTCCGCCGGGCCACCCCCACTCTGCTGCCTTCTCTCCTCCACCAGTGCCATGTGACTTTGCCCTACTCTGAAACCCATCCCTGACACCTGTCCCCAAGGTACCCTGCCGGCTCTCCCCTTCCCATCCACACTTGTCAGCTCTACAGTAACCAAGGGGCTCCTCACCCCAGGCCTCATCAGACCAGACAGCTGGCAGCTCTCCTCCCTGGCACACACCCCAGCCCTGTGACCCCAAGCTCTGACACTTCAGGGGCCCCACTTCTATCTTTAAGTCACAGGCGAAAGAGAAAGAGAATAATGAGGACTTTATTCATGGTCACGGCATACCCCCGGGAAGGGGAAGGAGCTGGCAGCAGGTAGTAGTATCCACGACTGGTCAGTTGAAGAAAGTGAAGATGAGGTACAGGAAGGGGAAACGTATGAGAGCGTTTACGGTGTGCAGTGCCAGCTGTGGCCCCCAGCAGACAACAAGGCACAGCGGGGCTTGGGGACTGGGGGAGGCCAGCCCTGTCCGCCTGTCCTGGAGGTCGGGAGGCTTGTGAGTGGAGTCCCGTAACCCCCACCGAACCCCTGTACAACGGGGGTTCCATTTCTGAAACCCCCAAAGTGTGGAGCATCTCAGAGGCCCCACAGCTGAGCGTCATATCAGGGACATTCCCACATGACGGGATCCTCAGAAAGAGCCAGTGCCAGCCGAGCAGAACCGAGGGCCAGGGCAGGGGGCCTGGTGTGCCTCCTGCCTGCCGTGCCCCTCACCTGGCAGGGGTGGCTGCCCGACCCAGAAGCTCCAGGGGCACCAGGAATGGGTTCAGGGGACAGATCCCAGCTGCTTGCCAGGACGATTTCAATTCGCTGGGCTCGGCCTTCTTGGTGGCTGGGGGGGTCTCCTCTGGTGCCTTGGAGCCAGCCCCGTCCCCCTCAGCAGCAGGCCCCAGGCTCCCTCCAGCGGGGCTGGGCTGGGGGGCTGTCAGACGTAAGTACGTCTCCGTCATATGCTCAACCAAGGCTGTGCAGGGCAGGAGGGGCAGCTCCTCTGGAAGTGACATGAGCAGGTCGAGGACCACAGCCGACTCTAGTGACGGATGGAGGAGAGGGGTAAGGAGACACCCTTACCTGCCGCCAGGGACCCCGATCCCTCTGCCTCTGCGCCCTCCCTCATCCTTCTCACCAGCTGCTGAGAGCTCAGGGCTGCGGCCACTTCGGGAGAGAGAGGACAAGTATTTGTAGATCTTCTCAAAGTCCACAGCGAAGTCTTCTTCAGTGGAGGGACCAGCGGAGGACGCAGGTTTCTCAGGGGGAGGGTCAGAAGTCTCGGGGGCGGAGCTAGGTGCCTTGGGGGCGGAGCTAGGTATCTCAGGGGCAGAGCCTTCCTGCCCTCCAGGGGCGCTCAGGAGCAGTGGCTTTCCACGGGCCTGCGTGGGCTTGGGGGGCTTGGAGTGCAGGAGGGTGACCGGTTCCGTGGCCGCGATGGTGAGCACCTGGCAGGTAGAACAATCAGGGAGTAAGGGAAGCTAGAAAGTCCTCTCATCGTCTACACATTCCCCCATCCTCTCGGCCACCCTAAGATGCTGCTCAGACAGCAGATGGCCTCAGAGCCAGGGACACTGAGGCTCGAGGTGTCCAGTGACTGATGGAGGCCACAGAGCTGGCAACAGGAAGGCCCCAGGACCCAGGTTCACATGATTTGGCCCAGTGACCCTGTCCTCTGGGATGCCCCGACCTGCCTTGGGGGATGGTCGTACCTGCGAGAAAGCCACTGCCAGGGCTTCCTCCAGTGGCCCTGTTATCTTCTCAGCCAGATCCGTCCAGACCTGAGTGAAGCCAGAGGTACAAGGTCAGCCCAGGGATCAGCCTGCAAGGGCCCCCCAAGCCCTGCCCCTCCTGGGGATCCCCTAATCAGGTTATCCTCCACAACTCCCACCTACGCACCAGGGACCTGCCCTGGACAGCCTCGCCCTGTTCATCTGTCTCACCTCTATGGGGGCTGGGGGCTGTGCCTCCCGGCGCCTTGGTCCCTGAAGGCCACCCGGATGCACCTTTTGAATGGCCTCCCGGGCTACGCGGCCCTTGAGCTGCTGGAGGAAGACCCGGATCTAGAAAGGAAAGAGGAGGAGGCCGAATGAGGCTTCTATGAGCTCAGGGCTGCAGCAGAGAAGCCAAAGCCTGCTCCCTTGCCTGCTCTGGGCCCCGCTACTGCGCCTTAGTCTCCTGCTAGCCCGGTGTTAGGAGTCCCAGTGACCGCCAAGGCCCCTACCCCATCCAGAGTCTGACCAGCTACCTAAGGAAGGTGTAAGGCCCAGGCCAGTTCCGGCTCCTTCACGGAGCCCAGGGCCCAACCCTATGCTGGCTACTACCCCGTTCAACTCCCTTCTTCGTCCCCTCTTCCCCATTCCCTGACTCTCACTTCAAGCTCGTATCCTGTCCAACAGCATGCGTTGCTTTTCAAGACCGGCCTCGGCTGCATCTTACTCCCAGTTCATTCCGCCCGTTTCGCCCTCGCCCCACCCACGCATTACTCCGAAGCTCGCCCCGCCTTTAAAGCTTGCACTCATCCCACCCACGCCCCGCCCACGCCTTACTCCCAAAATGGCCCCGCCCTTAAGTCTTGCTCTTATCCCGCCCCCAGACTCGCCCTGCCCCTCAAACCACTCACCCGCTCTCCAACCCTCAGCGGCACGCACGCCCCGCCCCCAGCATCGCCCCGCCCCTCCGCTTCACTTATGCCCCGCCCACGTCTTGCTCCCAAGCTCGCCCCGCCCCTACGCCTTGTTCTCTTCCCGCCCACGCCCCGCCCCTCACCCAGCCCAGGCTCACCCACTAACGCCCCGCCCCTCAGCCCCACGCCACAGCTCCGCTCGCTTACATTCCTGGCCCCGCCCCGCCGGCTCCTGCCGCAGCCCCGCCCACTCTACGCCCTACCCTAGCCCCGTCTCCAGCCTGGTTTTGGTCCCGAGAACCGCCTCTCACCTCAGCCTCGCTCCGGCCCTGCAGCTCCCGGGCCAGCTCGGCGGCGTCCGGCTCCGGCTGGCCCTGCCGCGCCTGCAGGAGTCTCACTAGTTGCCGCTTCTCGCGAGCGCTCCAGGTAGTGGGACCGGTCACCTCGCCCAGATAGCGCGCCGGGGCCGCTCGCCGCCTGGGAGGTGGCTTCATGCCGGTCAGAAAGACGCAGGCGCTGTAAGGCAGGTCTCCGGCGGGCGGAGCTACGGGGGCCGCCGAGGCCAGAAAGCACCACGGGAAGGCGGGCGCACGTGGGGGTGTGGCTCCGCCTTTGCAGGCCTGGGGACCCGCCCCATTGGAAGTGAAGGGGGGGGATCAGCACTGGAACTGGGGCGGGGCCAAGGAGACCCTCAGCCTGCACTTTATCTCATTTATGAAGTGGGAACGACACCTTGGATCTCGTGCCCTCCTCCTATTGCTGGACTAACTCATGAAGCTACTACTGTGTACTTTGCTTCTCGCAGAGGGGTGGGTTCTGGCTGAAAGGTCAAGTCCGAAGATCCTGTCGTGGTCAAGAAGCTGGGCTCTGGGGTCAGACAGGCCTGGGGACTTTGGGCAAGTGATTTAGCCTTGCCTAGCCTCAGTTTCCTCCTCTGTAGCCTGGGGCTGATAGTCCCACTCTTGCCTGTATAAGGCAAGAGAGATTTAAGGAGCTCTAGACTAGACTGACAATCTAAGAGGAGACTGGAGCAGGAGTAGACCGGAGCAGAGGCAGAAGATCGAGGCCGAGCAAGGGCAGGGTCCGGGCGGGGGTAGTGGAGAGCAGAGAAGGCCTGGCTTGAGGAAGATCGCAGGAGGCAGATGGGCAGTTGTCCGGGTAAGGAGAAGAGGGAGGGGGAGGGTTTATTTTAAACTTACTCTTGTGGGGTTGGGTGTCGCTTTTTTTTTTTTAGGTGGATTTTTGCTCTTGTTGCCCAGGCTGCAGTGCAATGGCGCGATCTCGGCTCAGTGCCACCTCCGCCTCCTGGGTTCAAGCGATTCTCCTGCCTCAGCCTCCCAAGCAGCTGGGATTATAAGCACGCGCCACTACGCCCTAGCTAATTCTTTTTTTGTATTTTTTTAGTAGGGACGGGGTTTCACCATGTCGGCCAGGCTGGTCTGGAACTCCTGACCTCAAGTGATCCACCCACCTCGGCCTCCCAATGTGCTGAGATTACAGGCGGGAGCCACCGCGCTCGGCCAGGTGTCGCTTTCTGTTTGAGACAAAACGCCCTAGAGTCTCCCATGACCCGGGAGTGCACACGGGTATGTGGGCGTATGGGCCCCGCCCCCAGGCTCCACCCCTCTAAATCAGGATTTCTCAGGAATCCTCCCCAAGTCCTACTCCCAGCTTTCTCCCCAAGCCTCCCCACCCATCTCCCACCCCGCACCTTGCGCGCTCACTGACTGCACCAGAACTTAGCCGGTCAATCCAGAGGTTTATTTTGAGCACAGGTGGGTGGGATGGACGGGGAGGAGAGAAGCACAGGGGTCGTGGCCCCATCAGGTCCGAGGTCCAGGGAGGCGGGTCCGGTCCTGTTGGTCCTGGTCCCGAAGCGGTAGCTGGGTGTATCTCCGGACCACGTTGGGGGCGCACCATCTCTGGGAGGGGTGGCTGAGGCTCAGCAAGAGAGGGGACGCTACGCGGGCCACCTCCCTTCTCAGCAGACCACTGACCTCTTCCATCGGTCTGTATGCCGGGGTGAGAGTGGGAGCCGGGTCTGAATGCTGAGTTCTCCTCGTGTAATGCCTCTCCCCACCTAATGCTCCTGGCTGGACCCACTGCCTGAGTTCGAATCCAAGCTCCACCCAGTATTGTGACTTTTGACAAGCTACTTAATTCAGAGAATGCCTCATTATTCTCGTCTCTAAAATGGGGATTATAATAGTGTCCGCCTGGAGGTTAAGGGGATTAAGTTAGTTCATAGGCGTAAAACATTGACAACAGTGCCTGGGGGCGGGGGGCAGTGGCTCACGCCTGTAATCTCAGCACTTTGGGAGGCCTAAGCGGTAGGATCACCTGAGGTCGGGTGTGCCGGACCAGCCTGACCAACATGGAGAAACCCCATCTCTATTAAAAATACAAAAATTAGCCCGGTGTGGTGGCGCATGCCTGTAATCCCAGCTACTCAGGAGGCTGAGGCAGGAGAATCGCTTGAACCCGGGAGGTAGAGGTTGCGGTGAGCCGAGATCGCGCCATTGCACTCCAGCCTGGGCAACAGGAGCGAAACTCCCTCTCAAAAACAAACAAACAAACAAACAAACAAAAACCCCAAAAACCTCAGTGCCTGGCACGAACTAAGCGCTAGGAAGCGTCACTGTCATCTCCTCCCTCCCCTAACTCCCTCCATCTCCATACCTACCTTCCTCACTGGGGCCTCCTGGGCTGGGGACCGCTGGGCGAGGCTCTCGCGGGCGGGCCGGGAGCCGGGGGCGCTGGAAGTAGAGGCGAGCTGCAGAAGGGCTGCTGCGCACCACGCCAGGCTAAGGGCGGCCTCTGGGGGCTGCTGCGGGCATCGCGGAGGCAGGCCTAGCTAGGGCTGATCAGGCCCCACAGGCGGGATCGCGTCGCCCCGGGTCCCGACGCGCGGGATTAGACTGGGGGCCCGGCTTGGCGGAGGTGGGTACCTGAGTGCGCGCAGACGAGGCCCAGCCCGGCAGCCAGTGCGGCGCCCAGCACGAAGGCTGCCAACACCAGCGCCACCACTGGCGCGGGTTCCAGGGCCGCAGGGGCCGGCGCGGGAGGCTCAGGGCGCACGGCGCGGCCGGGGACACTCTTGGGCGGCCCTGTGGGAAGAGCCACGCTGACTGGTTCCAGGTCCCAGGTGTCCTTCCCACCCCCTTTGCCGCCCCACGGCTCCCTGCGGAGGAGGACTGCGTGCTCACTGGGGGGCGGCCGCGGCACGGTGACCACGATAGGCTGCGTCAGCGTGTGCAGGTGGGGGCCGTCGGCAGCCAGACCCTCGGCGCTGCCACTGCCAGTGCCGGCGCACGCCTCGTCCTGAGGCAGACACTGGGGGAGAGGAAGGTGGGGAAGAGACGGGGACATCAGGGCACCGGGATCGTGGCTGTGGTCCCCAGGGCCCCCAAGAGAGACCTGAGTCCCGCTCTCCACCACAGCCAAGATGGGACCCCTGGAAATCCGGCCCCTTAGGGATCCCTGAGCCCAGCCCCTAATACAAGTGGCTAGCCGCCCAGCCCCTAAGGACCCCAAATCCCAGCCCCACAAGATTGCATGGGCCGGGTCTCCCAGCACCTAGCGTGTGAGGCCCAGCACCAAGTTCCCAGAAATGTGTCCCCTGAGTGGTCTTCTGCATCCAACCCCCAGCCCTGAAGGATTCTAGAGCTGTCCATGGGGGAACCCAGTGTCCACACTGTCCCCGGAGAAACTGTCGGCAGAGATGGCCCCTCCGCCCCACCTCTCCCCACCTCCAGATCCTCAGACCCCAAGAGTATCCCCTTTCCACTGCCAGAGTCGCTCGTGCCCAGTCCCCGAAGGACCCCGGCGCCCGGATTCCAAGCTCTGCGCCCGCGCACCCGCGATGGCGGCGGCGGCGGCGGCGGCGTCAGAGGCGCAGGCGCCCGGCGGACTCCCCGGAGGCGGCGGCAGCGGCTCAGCTGGCAGTGCAGGAACTGCACCGAGGCGTTGAAGACCGGGCGCAGGCGGAAGCTGAAACGCGCGGGGCGGGTAGCACCCGGGCTCGGCGGCGGCGGTGGCGGGAAGGCGACAGAGGTGTCGGCGGGGCAGCCCTCGCGCAGCAGAGCCAGGGCGGGCCCCGGGGCCGGGCGTGAGGACGGCGTCACTGAGCAGCCGTGCAGGGCCAGGCCCCAGCGCGGGGAGGGACGGGCCAAGGCCGCCTGGGGGACGGAGGCGCCATCACGGATTGCCCGTCCCCACCGGCCCCCATCCGCCCCTGGTGTCCGCGGGGCCCCCACCTGCACGAACACGCGGCTGTCGGCCGGGACCTCGAGCGGCCCCGCGCGGCGCGGAAAGACGTCCTCTGTGTCAGACAGCTTCAGACTGAAGAGGGGTCTGCGCAGCCAGGGGCCGGGCGCCGCGGGGAACGGGGGTGCTGGCGGGAGGTGGGGGGGGGAGGGCGGCCCAGAGAGAAAACGCGCGCTGCCCTTTAGGCCTCTGGGAAAAGTGACCGGACCACCTCGCCCCCGCCGCCGCCTTTGGAAAAGGGATGCAGTTGCGGCGGCGGATTCACCCATGACGGGCTCCCGGCCACGTTCCCCCTGACGGTGATGTGCCCCCGGCGACCCCTGGGACCCGCACAGCCCAGCAGCTGAGCCGGTTGCAGAGCCATGAGCCCCTAGAGAAGCCTCCGAAGCTGGCGAAGGCCTCCCTGGGGCGGAAGAAACGCGGTGAGGAGCACCCGATGGTGGGGTCTGGCTGGGTGAAGTCAGAGCTCCCCCACCTTCCCCAGGGCTGCTCCTGGGGACGCAGCAGGACCGACGGTTCCCCTTTCTAAGGGGACATAGGTGCTGTCACCAACGAGGAAGGGAAGTGAAGAGGATACCTTCCCTAGAGGCTCTCCTGGGCACAGCCAAAGCCCAGCCAGGCCACCAAGATCTGAGACGCTTCCACCTGTCCAGGCTAAGGCAGCCATGGGGTCCCCTCCCCTCTCCGTGTCCCTACACACACACTGATGTCTGTCTTCAGGAGGTGCTGAGCGGGGTCCTGGTAAAACGGATAATCTCCAAATACGAAAGATGCCTGCACATCCATTTTCCTTGTTTTCTGAGACAGAGTCTCCCTCTATCGCCCAGGCTGGAGTGCAGTAGTGCGAATACAGCTCACTGCAGCCTCCACCTCCTGGGCTCCAGTCATCCTCCTGCTTCAGCCTCTCCAGTAGCTGTGACCACAGACACTCACCAACATGGCCATAAGGGTTCTATGTTGCCCAGGCTGGTCTGGAACTCCTGGTCTCAAGCGATCCTCTACCCTCAGCCTCCCTAAGTGCTAGGATAACAGGCATGAGCCCCCTCATCCATCCCCACATACCCACTTCTGAAGAGTGCCTGGGTAGAATGGCCCTCTCCGTGGCTGCAGGGAACTTTGCCGAAGTGGGGCTGTGAGCCACCCTTGGGATGGAGGACAGAGACCCCATCCCACTCCCCTGCCCCGTCCCCACCCCGAGAGGAGGACCAGAGGTCTAGTTGAAAAAGAGTGACACCGGCCAGGCACGGTGGCTCACACCTGTAATCCCAGCAATTTGGGAGGTCGAGGCGGGTGGATCGCCTGAGGTCAGGAGTTCAAGACCAGCCTGCCCAACATAGGCAAACCCTGTCTCTACTAAAAAACACAACAATTAGCCAGGCGTGGTGTTGCACGCCTGTAGTCCCAGCTACTCAGGAGACTAAGGCAGGAGAATCGCTTGAACAGAGGAGGTGAAGATTGCAGTGAGCCGAGATTGCACCACTGCACTCCAGCCTGGGTGGCAGAGCAAGACTCCATCTCAAAAAAAAAAAGTAAAGAGGGTGACATAGTGATAGAAGCATGACAGACCGGTCACCTCCCTGCTCATACATACCAGGTGGCCCGCTGGGCAAGGTGGTGATCCCTGGGAGCAGGGCCAGCAGTAGCACGGTGCCCAGCATGCTGGACCAGCTGAAGTCGGAGTGTTCGGGGCCAGAGCAGACACCAGCTGGGCTGCACCCAGGTCCCGCACGTGGGCAGGCGGCCCTGTCCTTGGCCAGGAGGGAGGCAGGGAGCGGGGGTGGCAGACTGAGGGGCTGACACCAGAGCCAATATCCAAGGCCTGGAGGGATTAAGGGATCCTCTGCTGCCTGACCTGTGGCTAATGGGGGTAGGGGGTCCCTCACACCAGCTACTTGATATCCATTGGCAAGTCACTACAAACACCTCCCGTTCAGCTCCCAAACCTGCCTCAGTCTCCCCTCAATGCAGAGGCCTCCCCCGACACCCACCCCCTTGCCCCCCCGCCCTGCCAGGCCCATGACACACCACAGACTCGGTGGAAGAAAAGGGAGGGATTTATTCTCAAGCGTCTAAGGGTTTACAAATGTGGGCATTTTGTTTTAAAAAGGGGCAGGGCGCCACTGGCAGCCTGAGGAGGGGTCCATTGGCTGGTGGGCTGGCCCGAGCCACCCTCAGGCCCCTGCCCGCCCGGTCCACCCTCTGCCTGGTCCAGAGGGATGGCTGGTGACGAGGGGGGAGGTCTTGGGAGAGGCTGGGAGGCAGGAGAGACTCCCCCAGGGCTCCCCACTTAACACTGAAGGGGGTGGGGGTGGGCGGACACACACTCATAAAACAGAAAATAAAGTTAAATAAAAATAAAACCAGGCAGCCCGGCCTCAGGCCTGTGCTGGTCCTGGGACCAGCCGTGCAACCTTCCGGGAATCCGCAGAGGCCCCCATGGCTGGACACGGGAGGAGAAAAGGGCCAGGCCTGTTGGCACCCCCACCCAGCAGACCCCTGGCCCCTGACAAACGGACCAAGGGGCAAGAGAAGGTGGCGTTCCCCGCTGGGGGCAGAGAGAAGATGACGTCTATGACTTTTTAAACATGCGGCGTTTTGTGAATATCATAACAAGAGTCAACAGGCTAGGTGAGAGGAGAGGGATGCTACCTACGCTGCCCCCGCCACAGCCAGCCGGCTTCTGCGCCTTTGGTGTTGGTTTTTCTTTGTGGTTTTACGGGATTTTGTTTTTTTTTTTCTTGTTTTTTGTTTTATTTTTTCTTGTCCACTTGATTTGCATGCAACACCCACAAAAAGGAAACACACCCCCTCCTGCTCTGGCCACCCCAGCGGGCTCCGGGGGGCACCTGGCCTGGGCCCCCCGTTGCACACACTCGGGCTTTCCCAGTCCTGCACCTCAACGTGGGCTGGGCCAGGTGTGGGTGAATGGAGGAACGGCCAAGGGCACGATGGGGGTGACCGCCTCACACCCCCACCCTCAGCCCGGCCCCCACCCCTGCTGGAGCTTGTCATACGTCCTCAAACCCCCATATCCACTCCCTCTGCCCTCGATCCCGGACTCCCTCCGGACCCCTCCCTTGGCCCCGCTCTGTCACCGACTCCCTCCGGTCACCTGCTCTGTGCCATGCCCCGTGCCCACCTTCCCTGAAGGCCATCCTGTGCAGTGAGGGCCCCGCAGACCCTTCCGCACCCCCTGAGGTCTTCAACTCACCCCCAAGCTGTGGCTCCCAGAGACCCCAGAGCAGCGGCCCCAGCCCAGCCCCCCAGTGCCCGAGGGCAGTTGGGGCCACACGACAAGCAGCTAAACGTGACTTTGGTAAAAGTTTCTGAAGGTACCGACAAACCCCATGAGAACAAGCTCTCCTCCCACCACCCCAAACACCCCACCAAGTACAATAAAATACAATAAACTCCAAAAAGGACCCCCTGAGATCAAAGAGAGAGAGAGAGAGAGAGAGAGCGCGCGCGCAGCCCCATCTGGCAGCAGTGGCAATGCCCACACCGCCTGGCTGGGGGCCGCTGACTCATTGCGCCACGGGAGACCTATGCAGACCCAGGGGACCTGTCAGGAGGTGGCTGGGCACAGGCTCAGGCCAGGAGACAGAGGCAGGGAGGGTGACGGGAGAGCCAGACAAGGACAGAGAGGTAGAGCGGAGGACCGAGGGTGGCGGAGGAGAAACAGGTGCGTGGGAGTGGCGAAGGGCACAGCACGCTGGGAGCGTGGTGGCTGCGGGACTCGGGGGTTCTCTCCTGGCCCCTGGGGGCCGCCCCGGCCCAGAGGCTGCGGCTGAATGAACAGCGACTCTGTTCGCGGCCTGCTGTCTTCCATTCACAGTGTCTGTCGGGGGACGCACACGGCCGGCTTACCCCGGGGTGGGAAGGGCGGGGGCCTGGTAGGCCCGGGGCGGGGGGTGGGTGGGCACCCCCCACTCTCTGTCCTCAGCCCTCGGTGGCCGTCCAGGTCCCAGGTCTCCCCTGACAGGCAGCTGGGTGGCCAAGTGGGGAGGGGGGCCTGTGGCCATGCCCCTGGCCCCCTGTGGGGCTGGCCGCCGCCAAGCAGCTACCTGAAGAAGGGCAGGTGGGGCTGGCTCAGGACGCCGCTAGTCCGCGGTGACTCAGTCTTCGCCATGACATCCTTGAACCAGGACGCCACGTCCACCTCCAGCGTCTCGTAGCGCTTGATGAAGCTGTGTTCCTGTGGGCCCAAGGGGGTGGGGCTTAGGAGGAGAGGGTCTTCCCTCCGGGCCTCGCGCCGCTGCAGGGACAGGACGGGGACTGGGAGGGCCCCAGGTACTCACAAGTAGCTTATTATACTTTGGTCTCTTCCTGTGATCTTTAGTAAGGCTAGAGGAAGAGAACGGAAGACAGATGTGAGAACAGGGCAGGAGGGGATGCTGGTCCCACCCCCGTGGTCAGGCCCTCCCCAAGGAGCCAGCGGTCCCCAAGATGTGTGTGGCGGAAGGAGCTGTGGATGTCCTCAGGACCCCGGCTGACGGCTGGGAGCAACTGTGAGTCCCGGAGCCTCCTGGCTAGGTGGCAAGGGCCTGACTTCGGGGGTCAGAGCTGGCTGAGGTCCCCCAGAAACTTGGGTGGGGCTTCCGAGAGAATCAGACATGGCCCTCCTGCACTTGTAGCTGTGTCTGTTGCAGAAGCGTGCTCACAATCTCCCACAGCCACCCTGCCAAATGCTACAGGGCTGGCTGTCCCCTCGGGCAGGTCCAAACCCAGGTCGTGGCTCCCCAGGTACCAGCTCCAGCTCCTGTCTGCAGCCACCAGCCACGAGCGCGCCCACAGGCGCATCCACCCATCCCAGGGTGGGGCCTCCATTCCGCTCCCGCCTTGCCTCCCCGGCTGCCCAGAGCAGCGGGCTGCCCCTGACCTCCCAAGCGGAGGGAGGGTCTCACCAGTCTTTGACGAAGGACTGGAAGTCCCCCGAGAAGCCCATGTGTCCGGGCAGAAGCGGGGGCTCTTCCTGTAGGACTTTGGTGAGGACCTCAAAGTCCGTCTTGCAGTTCTTGTAGGGAAACTGTCCTGTTGCCAGCTCCACCTGGGAGGGAGATGGGCAGGGCTGGACCGGCCAGGACAGGTTTGTGTTCTCCTCCCTCCGAGTCCCCCAGAAGCCCTCACTCCTGGCTAGAGAAAAGGGGCAGGGCCCTAACTCACCAACGAGATGCCCAGGCTCCATACATCGGCCCGGATGTCATAGTCTGGCTTGGTGGGGTCTGGGGGGTCAATGCGCTCGGGCTACAGGAGGAGGAGGAGAAGATGTATCTCCAAGTCTGGGCCGGGCTCCCAGGCCCCACCCCTCCCCTGCTGGAGGGCCCCTACTCACCGCCATGTAGGCTGCGCAGCCGGCGCTCCGCGTCTTGGCTTTGGAGTCCACCAGGCGGCCGCTGATGCCGAAGTCGCAGAGCTTGATCTGGCCCCGCTCGTCCAGCAGGATGTTGGAGGGCTTGACGTCGCGGTGAATGACACCGTGCTTCTCCTTCAGGTAGTACAGCGCCTTCACAATCTGCAGGTAGGCAGAGGAGGGTGCATGTGACCGGGGGCACAGGCCCAAGGCCACCTGCCCGGTGCACGCCCCCCCCCCGGCCACTCACCGCCACTGTCATCTTGCCCAGGATGCGCTCGGGGATGGGGCCCTGCATCCGCTTCTTGAGCTTCTCGGCACAGGTGCCCATGAGCTCCATGGCGATGAAGACGTCCGTCTGCAGTAAGAGGGGGTTCCCGGGGGAGCTGTGTCTTCTGGCCCAGCCCCCAGAGGCTCTGCTCCCTGGGAAGGGGCAGGGGGTGAGGGAGGAGGAGACCCTGCAGGGTGCGGGGGAGGGGGCACCTGGCACGGCTGGGGACTCACGTTGGTGATAAACGTCCCAAAGCACTGCACAATGTAAGGGCAGTCATGGCTCTTGAGCACCACATCCAGGTCCATGAGGATACGCTTGTTCTCCTCCTTGTTCCCCGAGCGCCGCATTTGCTGCACAGGCAGGGACAGGAGGGAGCCTTAGCACCGGCCCGGGGTGTGGGGCGCAGCTGGGGTAGCCGCCAAGGCTCACCTTAACGGCAATGACGTGGCCGGTCTTCCGGAAGCGCATCTTCCACACCTGGCCGCAGGTGCCGCTGCCCATCTCACCCAAGTTCTCCAGGTCGTTGATTTCTGCCTGGTAGCGCTGGGAGGAGAGGGAGGGTTGGAGGGTCCGCGGGGCCTCTGTCACCGCCCCCCGCCCCCCACTGGCACCCCCAGGATGGGTCCAGCCTGGCTGGGCCTCCTCCCTCTCCCGCCACAGTGAAGGTGGTACCTGGCCCCCGATGGTCAGGTAGCCCGTCTGCTTCATGATCTCCTGCAGCTTCTGGTCAATCTCAATGCTGGGGACACGGAGCAGGTGCCGGTGGAGGTGGGTCCTGACCTTAGGTTGGCCACCCCAGCCCCCCATACCGGGGTTCTCACCGGTTTAACCACCCTCCTCCTGAGGCTGGCACGGTGGCCCCTCAATGCTGCTTCCCACCCAACCCTGCCGGGCCCCTGGCTCACCTCTCCATGCTTCGGGGCGTGAACAGGGTTGACGGGAGCCCCAGCATGTGGCGGGGCCGGGCGGGGGGCGTGGGGTGCTGCGGGGAGCTCTCCGAGGATGGCGAGCGGCTGCCCCCATCGTTGGCCAGCGGGAGCTGCAGGGCTGGGGGGGTGAGAACCAGTGGCAGGGGAGGGGTCAGCACCCAGCTGGTCTCAGCTCCACATCTGGCACTCCAGGGAGAGGTCGGGACCCTCACCTTCCCCTCCTGGGCTTCACCAGCTAGGCCGGCACAGCCCCTGCCCTGCTGGGCTGGAGGAGCTGGGGTCTCCCTCCCACCCCAGACTGTCCTCAGGGTCCCTTGTCTCATCCCCTGACGTGGAAAGAAATGGAAGAGGCTGGCAGGGGAGAGGGAGCCCCAAGTCTACGCTGACGGAGAAACGAGACGGGCACCTGAGGTGTCCCTCGGCCGGGCAGCCTCCCTGACAGGTGTGGGCGCTTCCTCCCACTTCTGCCCAGGAAGCAGGCCCAGGACCACAGTGCCCACAGGCTGGATAGGCGGGGGTGGAGTGCCTGCCGGGGCTGGCCCGGGCTGTGGCTCTGCTGGTAGCACTAAACTTGGCTCCCAGACGAGAGCGAGCGGGGCCACCCTGGGGAGGCAGTGGGCACGAGACCCAGGTTTCAGGCTGCCTTGCCCCATGTTCTGTTCCGGGGTCGGGAGGGCCCCCTTGGGCCAGTGGGCTGACACGGGGGCCTCCCGGCCTGGCCTGCAGAGCTGGGGCCCGTGGGGGCAGGACAGGACCTCAGGGGGCCTGCATCATCTGGGAGGAGAGTTGGGGGGCACAGCTCCTGCAGGGGCTGGCGGGACCAGGTGGGGCCAATGCTGGGCCAGGCAGGGGTTGGCTCATCCAGCAGCCTGCATGCGGGCAGCTCGGGCATGCTACAGCGGGCGGGCAGGCGGCGGGCAGGCAGCGGACACCCTGGGGCGGGCAGGCAGCATTAGGGGTGGGAGGGCAGGAGACAGACAGACAGACAGGAACCAAGACTTGGGCCCACGTGCCCAGAGGAGGCACTGCACAGACAGGCCAGAGAGGGGCCTGGGACAGGAGGGCAGCTTCCTGGAGGAGCTAGGGTCTCCCTGGCTGGGCTGGCGATGGGGTGCAGGAACAGAGGCCGGGATGCCAACGTGGCCTCCAGAGGAGCCAATCCTGACACCTCACACCCCAGAGGCCCTGACAACAGCTACACACACCTCCCAAGGTGCCCCTCCCACAGGGGCTGGGGCCTGCCGCTCTCCCAAAGCCCTCAACGGACAACCCCCTCTCTTCCTCCTGCCTCGTCCACCTTTTCTTCTCACAGTTCTGCAGGCTCCTGGTGACTGGTGCCCAGGGACTAACACGAACAGACAGACCCGCTCCATGCTGGCAGCTAAACCCCGTCCCTCCCCTGGGTGCCTGGGACCCTGATCTCAGCCAGTAGGAGAGGCAGGAGGACGCTGACCTCAGTCTCAATCAGGAGGCCCAGCACTGCCCCTACCTGGTCCCACCAGCCCCTGCAGGAGCTGTGTCCCCTTGCTCCCCTCCTGGAGGACCAGGCAGGAGCTGGGGAAGGGCTCTGGGGACCTGGAGACACAGTCAGGCCCAGCTTTCCTAACTGGCCTAGAGGCCTCACCTCCCATGCCCCTCCCGCTGTCCTGGCCACTGCAGCCTCCACAGCACCACGTCACCTCCCACTGGTGCTTTTTTTTTTTTTTTTTTTTTTTGAAGATAGGTTCTCACCTGTCGCCCAGGCTGGAGTGCAATAGCGTGATCTCAACTCACTGCAACCTCCACCTCCCAGGTTCAAGTGATTCTCCTGCCTCAGCCTCCTGAGTAGCTGGGATTATAGGCACACGCCACCATGCCCAACTAATCTTTGGTCTTTTTAGTAAGACGGGATCTCGCTTCGTTGGCCAGGTTCCCCCCTCTGCTTCTTCAGGTCCCTGTGCCTCTGCTCTGTCCATGGCCCGAGCCACAGCCCCGATCCTCTTCTGGCTCCCGAGGGCCTGTGCTCCCCTCACACCCAGCCCCCAACCCCTGTGCACCTGGTGTCTCTTGAGACACTGCGTGGTTCCCGCCCTCAGAGAGTATCTGAGTCCCACTCCCGCCCTGCACTCAGGGGGTGAGGACCACAGCCCTCGAGGAGTCCTGTGGGCCCCCTCCCCGGCACAGCCCACCAGGCCTTCTGAGGGCGGCCCCAGAGCCTGGGGAGGAGGCTGCTGGCCTACAGACTGGAGCACGGGGGAATGGAAGGGAGGGCTCAGGTAGGCACTGGGGGAAGGAGGTACACAAAGGCCCTGAGAACAGAGGCCACAGAGGTGGTGATGGCCACATGGCAGCTCAGGAGGGTGGAGTGACAGCAAGAGGGTGAGGATGAGAGAGAAAGAATGGATGAGAGAGAGCGAGAGGCTGGAGGGCACGTGTCTGCTGACAGGAGCCACAGGTGTGCAGGCTGCCATGTCAACATGCACACACACGCCGTGCAAGTGCACACAAGCACAACACACACGCGGGGCATGCCGCTGTGGACCCAACACCCATGCAGCTGGGACAGAGTCCCCATTGCCCATCGGACACACACACACTCACAGTCACTCACAGGGCCAGGCACCCCATCTACTCCCTCTCCCAACACAGGCGTGGGGCACAGCCTGCATGCCCACCACAGGCTGGCACTACGCTCAGAGCCCGGGCAGGGCTGTCTTCTCTCCCCCCACCTCCTTCAAGACGCTTTTTACATTTTTTTTTGTTTTGTTTTGAGACGGAGTCTTGCTCTGTTGCCCAGGCTGGAGTGCAGTGGCACGATCTGAGTTCACTGCAACCTCCACCTAATCTCTTTTATGTTTTTTTTTTTTTTTAGATGGAGTTTCACTCTTGTTGCCCAGGCTGGAGTGCAATGGAGCGATCTCGGCTCACTGCAACCTCCGCCTCCCGGGTTCAAGCTATTCTCCTGCCTCGGTCTCCCGAGTAGCTGGGATTACAGGCATGCGCCACCATGCCCGCCTGATTTGTATTTTCAGTGGAGACGGGGTTTCTCTATGTTGGGGTCTCGAACTCCCGACCACAGGTGATCCGCCCGCCTTGGCCTCCCAAAGTGCTGGGATTACAGGTGTGAGTCACCGCGCCTGGCTTAATGTCTTGCATTCTTAATAGCGACAGGGTTTCACCATGTTGGTCAGGCTGGTCTCGAACTCCTGACCTCAAGAGATCCACCCTCCTTGGCTTCCCAAAATACTGAAAGTACAGGCATCAGCCACTGCGCCTGGCCCGTTTTTTAAATTTTTGAGACAGGATCTTGCTCTGTCACCCAGGCTGGGGTGCAGTGGTGTGATCATGGCTCACTGTAGCCTCGACCTCCTGGGCTCAGATGATCCTCCTGTCTCAGCCTCCCTGAGTGTTGGGATTACAGGTATGAGCCACTGTGCCAGGCCTCCCCAGCGGCTTTGTTCAATGCCCACCTTCTCCAGAGGTTCCCCCAGGCTGGCCCCCTGCAGGGCCACTCACCCGGCTAGAATGTTCTCTCTGGTGGGAATGTGCTCCCTGTCCAATGGGCCCCCCTACTACAGCCCCCGCTACAGAGGAGAGGGGCTCCGTCTGTTCTATTCACTGCTGTGTCCCTGGCGCCCAGGGACGCTATGGCACCCGGGGAGGGGGAGTGCTATGTGTTCATCTAGTTATTGAGAGGGATCCATAGGCACAGGCCACGCACCAGGCTCGACTTTCTCTTTCAGTTACACACACACAGGCGTGCACGCCCTTGAAGGCGATAGACTCCCATTCAGTGGGGAGCCCACCTCCTCCTCCAGGGAGTCCAAAATGGAGGCGAGAGGAAGGGAGGGGGAGGAGGAGGGAGGACAGAAGAGGCCGGGCTGGGCTGACCGCTGCTTGAGTGGAGTGAGAGAGAAAGTGAGAGGGGAAGGGACATGGGGACACACACAGAGCATGGGGGCCGGGGGACGCCATTCTGCGGCCGGGGCAGCGGTTAGGTCAATGGTGCAGATGTCCAAGCAGCGATGATAAAAAGGCTGGTACCTGCTCGTTGGGACGGGGCAGGAGCAGGGCTTAGAGTGATCACAATAACTGGATGGGGAGAAGGAAGAAAAAAAACAACACCACGATAAATCACAACAGAAACGACCGATTCGTCCAAAAGAAAAGAAATCAAATCATAAATGAGGAGGAGGGGGGGAGGCACCGAACTGCAGAGATGGCCAGGAACCGACAGAGATGGGGAGGGTGGGGAGGATGGGATGGAGCTGACACAGACACAGACGCCTGGAGGGGACTCCTCGGGGGCCTGCCTGCCACCGGCCTCCTAGCTCTGCATGGGAACGGCCACCCATGAAGGCACCCCGCCACCCCTGAAGGCACCGGGGACCCTGGACCCAACCCTGTCTCATCCACTCAGGGGCCAGGGAGGGCAGCCCCAGGGGCTAGCAGGGACCCATGTCTTAGCTGGGCTTCTTGTCCCAGGCAGTGTCCTGTGCCACAATCTCCACCTCCACGATTCCTCTGGACCCCCAAGAAATTCCCCAAGGAGGAACCCATGCTGACTCAGGTCAGGAGAGAGACTGACAGGAGAGTGTCAGGTTGTGAAGGTCAGGCTGGGTGACCAGGGAATGGGGTGGGGTGCCCACATACAGGGGGTACCTTTCTCGTTTGTCCTAATGACTCCATAGAGAGCTAAATAAACTACAAAGGTCACATCAGAGGACACATGAGAGCATTTTACTGGGTCAAGAAAGACACAAAAAGGATCACGGGTCAGGGGTGGGGTTCGCAGGGTTTGAAAATCTGATTCCCTCCAGCCCAGAGGATTTACAGACCAGGCTCTTGGGCAAAAAGTCAAGAGACTAGATATGGTCAGTGTTCCCAAGCCGGGAGTGTGCAGAGTGAGAGGTACTGATCTAGGATGACAAGGTTTCAGGGAAGTAGGTACGGAGATGGTGGGATTGATCAGAAAGCAGGAGGATGTGTGCTGGGGGGTCGGGGGCAGGCCTAGAGTCACACTGGCCTCAGGTGTCCCCAGATCAGGTTGGTGTGGGTGTGAAGGGAAGGGGAGCCATCACTTGAAAACAGGTGACAAAGTCACCGGGCTGGCTGGGGGTCGATGTGCATTTCTGGAGAGATCAGACACCACACGCTCACCAAGATGGTAACAGTGAAACTGGTCACAGGGATTTGAGGGGGCCTGATGTACGTGGGAGGGGGGTCTGCTGAGCCCAATGCCAAAGTCACTGTCACGGGGGGCAGGGGAGAAGGGAGCCCCCCCATCCCCTCACCCCAGACACGGTCACAGGGAGAGCGAGAGGGAGAATCCTCGGGTCAGAAGAGTTGGGGAGGGGCTCTCTGTGGTAAAGTAACCTCAGGTGTCCCCGGGCCAGGCGTGCGCGTGTGCGTAGATCGTCCGCTGCACGGGGCTGACAAGCCCCCAGGTCGGGGGAGGGGGGCGCCAGACAGTCCCTGAGATGACGAGAGTGGTAACATCAGGTCAAAGGGGGCATGTCTGTGTTTTCGGGGCGACCTGGATGTGGTCACGGTCGCGTGGAGTCGGGGAAGCCCGGCCCAGAGGATCACGGCGATGGGGGCGGGTCATCAGCTGGGGGCCTCTCCTGGGTCCAGGGACTGGGCTCCCAGGCCCCGAGGGTGCGAACCCCCCCAGAGCTCGCCGTCCCCACGCCCCCCGGGTCACCGTGACCCTCGCCCCGCGAGCCCACAGCGGGGGGGCTGAGAGGAGCGCGAAGCGCCCCGGAAGCGGGGGCGGGGCCTTGTGGCGGGGGCGGGGCCTCCCGCGGCGCGCGCCCCGCCCCGCCCGCCCGCCCCCTCCCCCACGCCGCCGTGCTTACTGGGCCTGGGCCGCTGGGGGCTGATATCCAGGTTGAGGTCGATCCTCCGCCGGGCCTCCCGGTTCTCCTGCTTCAGCTTTGCTTCCAGGCGGGACAGCTTCTGCTCCAGGGAGGACGCCGCCATCTTCCCCGCCGCCACCGCCGCCGCGTACCGCCCGGCCGCCCGTCAGTCCGGCAGACAAACACCGCACTGCGCCTGCGCCCAGATGACCCCGCCGAGCCGCCGTCTCGCCCCGCACGGCGCATGCCCGCGGCGCGCACCCGCCCTTCCCCGCGTGCGAACCTCCGCGCGTGCGTGCTTCGGCTCAGCCCGAAGGATGACGCCACCTAGAGCTCGAGGCAGGCAACGTGCAACCCCCGCCTTCCTCGCCACTGCCACCGTACTGCGCATGCGCCAATTCCGGATCGCTCCAGAGAGAGGCGCTGCGAGGAAACACCATTCTGATGGCGGTGGGCGGTGAGAGCAGTACGCATGCTTAGGCAGGGGAAACCGGTACGCGCGCGTGGCTTTTGCGCATGCGCATTTCTGGAACCTCTTTCCCAAGCGGCAGTCGATTCCTGGTCTCCACGGCGGTGCAACCTCAACCTCCTCGCTTTTCACGGTCGGCTTGGGCGTCCTTTCGGAATGCCTTCCTCACTGATGGTGCATTATTAGGATTCCTCTTGTGCTTAATTGCCTCCTAGCCTCCTGCTGGCAGCGGGGTGCCCCCTCCTCACCGTAATTAGGCTCCGTCGAGAGCCCTTTTCCTTCTTGCCAGTACGAGCAGGCTCAGAGTTGGCCGAAACCAGGCGGGAGGGGACGGCCATGGGAACCCGACGGTGTGACCCTTGACCTCGGGGACGGGGCCAAGGCCGGAGTTGTTGGCCAGACCCACATGGAACCTCAAGACGCCTCCTGTCATCTCTCTCGCACCGGGAACGTGGGCCCAGCGCCTACACGTGCACAATTCCTGAGGAGGGGCCCTGGGGTTAGGTGCCCGTGCCTGGGTCCCCGGCAGCGGTAAACCACTCCTTTAAGTGGTCCGAGGGGTGCTGGGGAAATGTCTCATCTGGAACCCAGGGATCCCCCAAGAGCAGCTTCCCTCTGCTCTTAGATGCGAGAAGGAGGTTCTGATTTTGCAGAGACACCTGGGAGGTGGCCAGGGCCAGGCAGGCTCTGCCAAGTACCCTTCCAGCTTCTGGCCCAACGAGGGAACACTTTGGGATGAGTGTTACAGGCTTGTCGGAACTCCTCTGGTGACGACTTGTGGATGGAACGCACACAAGTGTAGTGCTGAGGTCTGTACCTTCCTCTCTTCCAGGCGGCCTTCTGTGCCTCTGCTCTGAGAACAAGAGACTCAGCCTTGATTCTGGCACACGGGTGCTACTTGGTCACGTGAAATAAAAGGTTAATATTGGCCGAGCATGGTGGCTTACACGTGTAATCCCAGCACTTTGGGAAGCCGAGGTGGGCGGTCAGGAGTTTGAGACCAACCTGGCCAATTTGGCAAAACCCCCATGTGTACTAAAATTACATAAAAGCCAGGCATGGTGTGTCAGCGCCTGTAATCCCAGCTACTCGGGAAGCTGAGGCAGGAGAATCGCTTGAACCGGAAAGGGGGAGATTGCCCAGATGGCGCCACTGCACTCCAGGCTGAGTGACAGGGCGAGACTCCATTTTGAAAGCAAACTAAATAAAAGGTTAATATTTATTTATTTACTTATTTTTAGAAACAGGGTCAGGCCGGGCGCAGTGACTCACGCCTGTAATCCCAGCACATTGGGAGGCTGAGGCAGGTGGATCACGAGGTCAGGAGTTCAGGACCAGCCTGGCCAAGATGGTGAAACTATGAAAATTAGCCGGGCATGGTGGCAGGCGCCTGTGATGCCAGCTACTTGGGAGGCTGAGGCAGAGAACTGCTTGAACCCAGGAGGTGGAGGTTGCAGTGAACCAAGATTGTGCCATTGCACTCCAGCCTGGGCGACAGAGCCAGACTCCATCTCAAAAAAACACAACAAAACAAAAAAAACCAGGGTCTTGTTCTGTTGCTCAGGCTGGAGTGGAGTGGTGCAATCACAGCTCACTGCAGCCTCAACCTCCTGGGTCCTGGGCTCAAGCAGTCCTCCTGACTCTGCCTCCCTAGTAGCTGGGACCTCAGGCACGCATCAGCACACCTGACCAACTGTTTTTGGTATGTTTTTGTAGAGATGAGATCTCACTATGTTGCCCAGGTTGGTCTCAAACTCTTAGGCTGAAGTGATCCTCGCACCTCAGCCTCCCAAAGTGCTGGGTTTACAAGCATGAGCCACTATGTCTGGCCCTAATAAACAGTTTTAGACAATGACAGGAGTGCACATAAAAGATCAAAACTAGAATTTGCATAATTAGTATTATTTATTAAGCACTCAAGGAACAGTCAAGACCAAAGTCCCTACCTGTCCTTGGAAAAATGTCACCTCTATAGCAGGTGTCCTAACCCTGGAGTCCGCCCACCTTAGGAAGTCCTTGAATCTCTCTCTGGGAGAAATCTATCAGCTGCCTGAAGAGCTTTGTGTGTATTTGTACATTTTCCTGAGGAAGGAGGTGCCTGGCTTCATCAGTTTCTTAAAGGGTCTAGGACCTCAAAAGAAATCAGAATCTAGATATTTGGATACCCTTTTTTTTTTTGGCAGAGGTGGGGTCTCACTATGTTGCCCAGGCTGATCTCAAACTCCTGAGCTCAACCATCCTCCTGCCTCAGCCTCTTAAAGTTCTGGGATTACGGTCATGAGCCACAGAGCCCAGCCATGATACCTTTACATCAAAATTACTTTTTTTTTTTTTTTTTTGAGATGGAGTCTTGCTCTGTCACCCAGGCTGGAGTGCAGTGGCGCGATCTCGGCTCACTGCAAGCTCCGCCTCCCGGGTTCACACCATTCTCCTGCCTCAGCCTCCCAAGTAGCTGGGACTGCAGGCACCCACCACCACGCCCGGCTAATGTTTTTTGTATTTTTAGTAGAGACAGGGTTCCACCGTGTTCTGCAGGGTGGTCTCAATCTTCTGACCTCATGATCCACCCGCCTCGGCCTCCCAAACTGCTGGGATTACAGGCATGAGCCACCGCGCCCGGCCTACATCAGCATTTCCCAACATGCCATGTCAGGACCACTTACTTGCACCAGAACTACCTGGGATACTTATTTAGGAACAGACTCCTGGCCCCAAACCAAACCTCCTGAGTCAGTCTTTCAGGGGTGGGGACTGGGATATTTTGTTTTGCACCGACTCCCTAGGTGATTTTGCTGCTTAGCCAAATGAGAACCATTGTTCTGAGCTCACATATAACCCGGCGAACAACTGTGTCTGTGTCCTCTCCTTGGGAGAGAACCCCAGATGTAAGTTGCTTTGTCTGTTGCATGGGGAGGGGGAGTGTTGGAAATCCCACTGGGATGTGTCCTTTCCCCCATATGTGGCACTAATTGAGCTGGAATATACAGGGAGAGGCAGCAGTTCTGGTCTAGGGATGGGAGCAAGGCCAGCCAGGCTGCCAGAGACACAGGTGTGGTTTTGGAGAATCCCATGACTGAGTTAATCCCTCCATACCAGGTTCCACCCCAACTCCACAACATCCTCTCTCTCTCTCTCCCCAGACAAACCAGCCCCAGATCCTCCTGGGTCCCTGAAAGCTGACACAGCTGTCTTGGAAGACAATGGTTGAGATTCTAGGGCGGAAGCATTTTTAAGGCCCTACCTAAAATGGCCCCACCCCGGCTTCATTCCTCCTCCATCTTGTCCCGCACCTCTGCCGGCAGACCCTGGTAAAGGGTGTCTTCCACCAGGAGCCCCGCCTTCTTTAGTCCCCCACAGTTGCCAAGTTCTTCAGGCAGCGCCTCAAGGCGGTTTCCTTTGAGCTCCAGGCGGCTGAGGGCCCTGAGGGCACCCACGTGGGGCGAGAGCTGGCTCAGCTGGTTGTCACCCAGAAGCAATGTCCGAAGCTTGCGGCAGAAGAAGAGCTCGTCGGGCAGGGCCTCCAGGGCATTGTAGGAGAGGGCCAGGTGCTGTAGGTTCTGCAGGAGGCCCACCTCGGGTGGCAGGGAGTGTAGCCCGTTGTGGGAAACGTCCAGCAGACGGAGGCCCGAGCACAGGCCGAGCTGGGAGGGCAGGGTCTCCAGCTTGTTGTAGCTCAGGTAGAGCTGCTCCAGGCTCCTGAGCTTCCGCACGTGCTCGGGGACATAGGCGATCTGGTTGTGCCATAGCCTGAGCGTGACCAGCTTCCGGCAGTGCTGGAAGCTGAGGATTTCCTCGATGGAGCGCAGGTGGTTGTCCTTGAGGTCGAGTTCCTGCAGGGCGCCCAGGCTGAACACTGCGTGGGGGATGCGCTCCAGCCCGCAGGCCACCAGCTCCAGCTCCCGCAATGCCGCCAGTTTCTTAAGGCTGTTCAGGGCAACCAGACGGGCCCCATCATTGTGCAGGCTGAGCCTCTGTAGGTGGCCGGCGACGTCGGTCACACTGGCTGGCACCTTCCCGGCGTTGCTCCGGAGGGACAATACCTTGAGCTGCTTCAGCTCCCGGAGGCTCTCCAGGGTGGCCGCCCGAGCCAGCTCCTGGGGGAAAAGCCCCTCCAGGTGCAGCTCCTCCAAGCCCCGCAGCCCGAACACCCAAAGCGGCACCTCGCGGAGCTCTTCGCATTTGACGCGCATCACCTTCAGGTGGTCCCGCAGGAAGACCTGCAAGGAGAAGGGTAGCCTGGTGGGCGAGTGGAGCAAGCTGAGCTCCTGTAAGTGCACCAGCTGCGACAGCCCCGGGGGGAAGGTGATATCGCAGATGGCCTCCAGCCGGAGTGACTCCACCTCACTGAGCTCAAAGATGGTGTCGGGCAGTCCCGGAAGCATGCAGAGGGCCAGCTCCAGCCGACCTGCGGCGTTGCGCTGCAGCTTCTGTCGAAGCTTCTCGGGCGTCCACTCATGATTGAGATTGAGCTGCTTTAGACGGCTTTCGCTGACCTCGGACAGGAAGACGGCGAAGCGCTTGGAGTAGAGGGAGTCATACTGATCGATGAGGTGCAGCATGAAGGCGAAGTCGTTCTTGACATCAGGAATGTCCCCCATGCCAGTCTCCTCCCGCACGGAACGGAAGGAGTACTCCTTGAGGGGCCGGTGGAAGAGCCAATAGAGCGTGTAGA